ATAAACACGCAACAACTACGTACATGGCGGAATAATTTACGATAACTTCAAATAAAAATAAAATTACATTATTATTATTAACTTTTTAATAATATTATTTTAAATAAAATTACTTTATAGTATAGTATATGGGTATAAATGGTTTTGAATTTGCAACGAACTGCATTTGGATCAAGGTCGATGTGATTTAAATGAACCAGTTCTGATACACGACCAGAAAGGTAAAACCAAATATCTGTCCGAAACCACCATCTGTACAACTGTTTCCCAATCATGTGTAATTTACAAAAACTAAAATACATATATCGTGATAAACAAAATTGAATCTTATTACAATGATAATTGATATATTTAAGGACGACAATCGTGTGCATCTATTTATTTGTTAATAGACGTCGGGTAGGCTGTACTTTTAATATGACATATGGTTGTTTAAACACTTCCATGTAAGGTATCCATGGATGCTGGTCGGTGTGATGGATTGTCTGACAAATGAAACCTAACATGGAATAATAGAAACTTTCTATAACGGACAATACTATAGAGAACGATTCTGTACATACATTCAAAAAACGTATTGTGTTACAAAAGTTAACATCGCCGAACATTTCAAAGCTTTGTCACGTGTACACTGTAAAGCCTACAAAATATGAAAAATCCGGACAAATTGTCGTTTTTATACATACACTAGCTGTTACCGGCGACTTCGTCTGTTTAAAAAAAGAAAAAATAAACAATGAAAAACTTTTTAAGCGCCTCGTGCGTCCTGAATCCCACTCGTAATAACACTTAATTTAGGGAGCGGGATAAAAACTAGTCTAGGTTACTTCTTATTACATCAGTTACCTGCCAGCAAAAGTCCCGTCACAACCGATCCAGCCATTTCACAGATTAGCCGAAACAAACAGGTAGATAGACAGACAAAAATTGAAAAAAATGTTATTTTGGTGTATATGCCGTATACATTATATATATGCATGTAGTAAAAAACGGTTATTTTAATATTACAAACAGACACTACAATTTTGTTTATTTGTATAGATATACAAGGTGACTGGTGAATTACTATCGATACTTGGGGATGTGATATTTGACGATCATATATGACAAAATAAAAATTAATATAACATAAATATTAATAAACTTCTAAGTAAAGTTAACCAAAAGTTATGTAATTAATTACGCATCGTGAGAACACCCTATAGATTAGGTATACACACACACACACATACTGATGCTGATACAACACCACGCCGCCGCACGCGTCCACACTTGGAACACTTGGAACGTGTCAACACTTTATTTTTATTTATACGGAAATTTTGTCAATAATTAAGTACCTATTTTTTTTACATAATTCGAATGAGAATCATGTACCGAGTATTCTCCTTAAATATTGATAGTACATAATTCACCAGTCACCCTGTATATTTTTTGTTGACACTTTGTAACAATTATAGTTGGCTGCAATCATCTATAATATAACAAAGCCGTCTCTCGTTTCAGACGGTATGAATCGTCTTAATTAAAACTCATAAACTAATTGCACGCCTCGCTCTCTATTATTCGGGCTTCATTTTATGTAGAATTAAATATAATGTAATCCATTGAGATTAACTTAGTAAATACCGTTTCAATATTCAATGAACATTATGAAATTTATTTATATATACCAAAAGTAGAAATAAATACAGTATTATAAAAGAAATGAGATGCATTAAGGATAACTTATCTCTTAAAAGAGATCTCTGTTATTTTGAGAGAATCAGAGAGACAAAGAATTCGTCAGAATTGTATTTAATATTTACACATAATTTCTATATAAACATAGCTATAGTTATTTTTGTTACACTATAACTTAAGAAAATCTCTGTCTTTTCATCTCATATATTTTCAATTCTTTCTAATATTTCGTAGAAGCTTCTTACTCTTTTAACAATCTAGTAAACAGTACCAAAACATGTTTTAACATAAGTCTTTTTGTCTATGCTATGGCTTCATTCACACCGGAGTTGTCTAATATTACGCCGATGTCAACAATTTCATTTAATGTATTAATTATAATATATGTTTTTTCCCTATGTTGAAAACGAAGTAGTTTTTTTAAACTCATTCATAGTCTTAGCTAATAAGTTTTGAAAAAAACCGTCATTTGTTTGACAGTTGTCTGTCAGCTGTTGACACAGATAGCGCTATATCAAATATAATTTAAGAATATAGCATAATTATATAGAAACTTTTTGTAATATTTGAGTTAATCAATAGTATTGGTAGTAACCAAAGATTATTATAAAATATTACTAATTTTTTTTCGTGTAAAATTTACTGTTTGTGGTGTACAATAAAGTATATTCTATCTATCTATCTATCTATCTACTAATAAAATATAACCCCTTCCCCAATTCGGAATAGAATCTTCGACATGACTGGTCAAAGTCTGTCTGGTAGTTGAAAATAAATATAAGATCAATGTCTCGTCTGCCTGTGATCACGGTTGCTGCAAAGTAACCGAAACTTCGGGAGTATGAACTTTAAGATAATAAAATAACACGTAGTAATACGAAAATATAAGAGTATTCATTTCAAAGGAAAAGTGAGTATAATTTTAAATACATTAAATCCAGCATCAATGTATTTCGCATCAATTCATATGAAGGAATCGCTCGCATCCTTACAAGATTTTTATTGGTCGACAGATTTAACGAGCGATGACTTATTAGCGAATTTAAAACAGAATTAAATGAACTGAAAGACAAAAAAAGAACAAAATATATTTATAGACGAAATGGAAATCCTAATATCATAGAATATGGAAGAAAATTAACAAAATCAATTAACTTTAATATGTTTAGTTAAGAGATATTTCCTAAAACAAATTCTATTTTAAATAGACTAAGTTTTAAGACTCGTCTTTGAAGCTTATTTTGTTTGATGGGCATCTTGTTAGACGCTTCATACTAAAACTAAAATACAAAAGGTAAAAACAAAAAAAAAATAATGTGATTATAATTAAGTATACTTGATGAAGATGAGCCAACAGAAATAAAAACAAGAACTGAAGGTACAAGGAATGTCAAACATTTAATTCTATGAAAAGCCAATGAAAATTTTAGACTTTATAATAAATAGTATAGTACTTTTAACTTGAAATTTACTTCCAAGTTAAAGTTTAAAAATACTTATACTACGGCTTTTTGTTTAATTGAGCCTTCTAGTAATAACCTTTTACATTTTTACAGCTAATAATTGCCATTCGAACCACTGCCATCAATCAAATATGTATGGTTATGTTGAAGGTCGTTGACGGGCTTTTAGCAAATTTGCAGGAACGGGAAACGGAAGGCACGCCGTCTAGACGGCATTAACATGGCGAAAAACATAAAATAACTTACAATTTATTGCAGGTTTTATCACAGTACTATAACTTCGAATAGTCCTTTCAATCAAACTAATATTTTTAGGGTTATACTACGCGTGCTTTATTATTGTAAAAAACTACATACTCCCGACGTTTCGGTTACTTTTCAGCAACCGTGATCACGGGCAGACGAGATGTGGTCGAAACGTCGGTAGTATGTATTTAGTTTTTTACAAGAATAAAGCACGCGTAGTATATCCGAAAAATATTAGTTTCATTTAAACGAATACTAGCGAGCCTTAGATCTCATTACGTCCGAATATTTGTTTTCAATCTTATAATTCAGTTATATATTTAAGACATGACGTGAACGTGTCGGTACGATAGTAAATCCGTTAAAACATATGGTTACATCACATTTGTATGGGATTAGATCAGCATACCCAAAATAATTACGAAACTGACGCGTAACAAACAATATGTCTTACACGATAACGTAATGATTTTAAATATAGGAAACTATATAAACTGGATATTATATTACACATTATGTATAAGTATATGTGATGGGCATTTTATAGCCATAGGTAGCTGAAACTGACGCATTGAAACAACTGCAGACCGCACTGCGGGAAAAAGTATAGCGAAGCATCGATAGGACTGTCTAGGAATCAAATATAGGAGCAATACTAGGATTATATTATGTAAATGTATCTACGATTCAAATTGTTCTATACATATATACATAGTCATAGTTTTCATAAAGTATATAATTAATATTGAAATATTAACCAAGGAATATAGGATCACATAATAGAGGAAATAGCTTTTTCGATCTAAAAATTTCATACAACCACATATCAGATGTATTTTTTAATACAAACAATGTATTCGAGTCTGAAAGTTTCATCGGAGCCCCCGCCCCGTCTAGGACTCGGCCCAGACTGGAAGGGTGCTCTTAGAGGACTACAAAAACTCACAGCACACACGCTCTTATTACGATAGACATAAGAACCAAAACTCTTTATATTTTTTACGCAATCAACACTCGCATCTAACGTACGCGTGCAAATTAAATTGCCGCCGGAGATTATTTATGTATATCATATATAGATCTATACAACATCACTGTGGTCGAATCTATGTATAACATATGTAATTAATATTCAATGTATATCTAGACTCCTGTTATCAATGCGTCCGTGTGTTATCAGTTAAGTCGATGACGTCACCGTAATGCACCCAGCCTGTGATAGAACGCGAGTCGAGATGCCGCGTCTATTTTAGATCGCCAGCATCGTGCTTCACTTACAATGAATTCGAAAATTAACTCTAATGATAACCGTTTACTTGAATACAGTAACAAATTTCTTTACGATTCGTATATAAACAATATTATATTACTTCATTCAATTTATAATATTAAAAATATTATATGGAACGCGGACTAGATTTGAAACGTATTTTTCTAATTTTAACATTTACGTTGCGTGTTTTCAACTTTTCAGGGACACGTAGACATAAAAATAATTACATTGAAATAAACAAAGCAACTAATAATAAACTCGTATATTAATCGGTTTTCTCATAGCAAGTTAGACAAAAGATTCATTTTGTTTATCTAGACAAATGTGACGTGAAATTAGTCTGCAACAGAAAGTACCAGGGCGACAGTAAGTTTGTGGAGGTTAAACGCAGCGCATATATTCGCGTGGGCCGGCCCCCGGAGCCCCAGGAGCCCCCCTCCCCCTCCACTCCGACGGGGTCGACGAACGCCGCGGCCGATTCGGCCGAAGGCGCGCCTCACCTTGACATTCATCTCGAGCACGCTTTGACCAAACAGTTTAAATTAACCCGTGAATATGCTAACATATACGTATAAAGAAACCTTTACATTCATATATAAATACTATTAATAGTACTATCCGTCCGTCTAAAACATCGCGACTGTAACTGCGATATAAGTTTCGTAAACGGAAAATAATTACAAGAACCAGTTTATGCAAACATTTGTTTTTCGTTTATCGTCTTCGATTATTTAGTGGCGATGCAGATGATAATTTGTATGCAATGTTGCATGACATCATCACGCTGTTAAGATATGAAGACCTGTGCAAGTTTGGCACAAAGTCCGTAAAGGCACGGCGTAAATTCATTTTCCCAATGTCAGCGGTCACTAACCCTCGGTTCAGTCGAATAAAGCAAATAATAATATTGATATACGATATTAAGTTTATTAGAAATCTTATCAGATAAATATTTTTTGGGTATAAAGATTTTTTTATTATCCCGACGAATACACAATGTTTTTGTATGATGATTACTAGAATTTAGTTAGAAAAAACTTTATCTTGTCAACGTACTTGGAATTAAAAAAGAATGGTATTTGACGGCATTATCGTTCACAAGATATTATGCCACCAAAACCTAAAGGTCATTTGCATAACTATCAAACCAATTAGCGGTTATCTTTAACTACGGTTAATGAACCTAAGAAAAAATTTCCCAAAACACTAATTACGAACTAGTACCGAGTGACAAGAGAATAATTTTTTGTTTATAAAGTCCCCGGCGCCACAGTATGGCGCTGTATTAATCAAACCGACTCAATGGTGCGTAAAATCCGTTAATTTGAATGACAAAGGTTGTTCGCTATTCATTCGCGATGGAGGTACGGGCGAGCGTTACGATTGTTCCCAACACGGAACATCGAAACACTGTTTGTATACTCTAAGTATGATCATATCAGATACAAAAAATATATATATATATGTATAAAACGAACAAAATTTATACAGCCAATCATTTAAAAGAGGTTCATTAAGTTTAGCTATATGACTAATATGTCTACATAATGTTAAAATGAATAAAACTGTAAAGTTACAGAAAAGGTTTTATTGAAAATTTTATATTACAACTAAATTGTACTTTATACCAGAAAGGAAAACGCTGAAAGTGCATAAATTTACACAAACATGTTTGGTAATCTGGGTCATTAAATTATAAAGCCGCAATATCATTTAAATTTAATATTTGTGGCTATAACTTTGTTGCTACTGGCTTTAATGTATGTATAATATTGGCTATATATATATACATGTATATTTATAACATGTGTTTCTTGGTACTAAATAACAATTATTTTTCCTATAGGATAAGAATTTAAAATAAAACATAGGATGATTTAAGGATTATTCAGTAATGAATTCAACAAAATAAACATGAATAAATTTACATATATAATATTTATAAAATTGCAAATATTTTATCGCATTTAGCATCGATAAAACCTAATTAAATAATTAATATGAATCATGCATCTTGTATGATAATATCCCTTTGTTAGATTGAGTATAAGTTGAGCCATAATGAGTTTACATAAACAATAGCTAACACCAAAAATGTTTGTTCAGTAATGACCTCACCATAGTGATTCAACCTAACGACTAACCTCAACACACTTACCAGGAATGTGAAAAGGTTTTACCTTATATGGTCAGATATTTTAAAGTAATTAGTGACACAAACAACTTCATACACTTGAAGTAGTTTCAATTATCAGTTTCGTAGATATTAGAATATTGTTTGAATTTAATATCCGTTGCTAGATTATGTATTTATTGTCTCATGCTTTATATATAAGTGTATGAAATTTTTGTAACTTATACTTGATACGGTCATGTCTTCCAGCTTCGGACACATGAAAGGAGTAATGGATGCCTCTAGTTTGGTATTAGTGAATCAAAGATACTTACATATATGAGTCCGGAGTAGTATCTGTCTTTGATGTTGTGTAGAACGGAGGCTTCATTTAAGCAGGTCAGCTCCGCCATGTCCTCAACTTTGTCGAACTTCGGCGGGTTCATCTTTTGGATGTCGTCGATGGGCACCAACATCCGCTTCCCGGACTCCGCGATCTCCACTTCCACTTCATCCCTCCGCTCGCCCTTGATACCGGCGGCCACGAAGCCATGCGTCTCGTGGGGCACCCACACTAGTCTCTTCTGAGTCCACTCGGCCTGCGTCGCGGGGTCGTTGAAACTGTTCCGATCGACCGACAGGTACCGGAGCTCCGGGTCGTTCCTATCCATATCCACCATCGCGCCGAATCACGCGCGACCCTTGCGATACCCTAACACCGGCACTGAATACCACATTAAACGCTCCCACAGACCGACACTACACAACACGCTGTTGGAAACCACCGAAATGCTCGTCTTACCCGGCAGCACGACACGTACGAAATGACGATTTGGACTGACACGAGTGACAGCAACGGTTACAAGTAGGAGGGATGGACCGGTCGACGCCCGAATTCACCTTCTGTTCGAAATATTATACGAGCTTTTCGTTGTACAATTGGACGGTAACTACGAGTAACTAATACAAACTGTCCTTAACATATACTTAACTTTTATTTAAACTTGTAACTAAAGTACGTGTTCAGATAAAACAATGCTCACATTTCACAAACCACACCAAATGAGTGAGGATTGAGATTTTATTTCTTTCTCCAATATGTCAAGGTGTGAGGAGACTAAATTCTAAAATTCTGTCTAAAACCGTTAAATATATCACAGGGATTGGCTTTTACTTCTCAAGCAGGATTCGAATAGAGTTGAACGTCCAATGGGAAACAAAATATTTTATCTGTAAAACGTGCTACTTGTAATAGAAAACATATTTCAGAAATGGGCACGTTCAGTGATACTATTATTTATTATGTTAAGTTTTGATTATTTCTCAGAAATATGTAATTGATTACTTGACACGTAAAGAAACAAAAGGTAATAGTTTTTTGGATATATGTATTTTATCTGTTAACAGTTATAAATATTAAAACCTTTTTTTTAAAGCTTATGACTTATTCAACTATTTAAAATAAGAAAGTTATTTTTATACGTAAGTGAAGTAAGTCGTTAATAAATAAGAAATGTAAAAAAAATATTGTTTTATTCTTTTGAACAAAATCTTTTATTTTCTATCTTTTCCGATATACATTTTGTCAAATCTCTTGGAAATGAAAAAACATACAAAATAAATAATTTTATATAATTAAATATTTTTTAAGTTTCTTACATAAAGACGTTAAAATCACATCATCTACTTAACGCAAATATAATACAAAAGATTTTGTAATTTGTCGACTTTAAATTTTGACAATATAGTGCAACTGCCATATCAATTTGACAAATAACAAGATAACTGATAAGTACTCTTAGTATCTGTCAGTTTTGTTTTGGTGTTTCAACTTTAACATTTGAGTTCGGAAATGACCTCACTAGACCCTACTAAGTTTAATATTAAGCAACAATCAGTTCTTAAAGTACGATAGCCTTATCGTATATACATAACCTACTGTCTTATTTGAGAAAATTTAGAACCGGACGTTTGTTACTCTAAAACACAAACAGATTCATTTAACTGGTTTATGTAATAATTTGGAGGTGTTAAGAGTGTTAGAGTAATAACTATGGCGTATATAGTAGATTTACGTTCAGATACCGTCACTAAGCCGACAAAGGCTATGAAGCATGCTATGGTGAATTCAGCTCTTGGAGACGATGTTTTTGGCGAGGATCCTACTGTGAACGCATTGGAGAGCAAAGTAGCCACCCTGCTGGGGAAGCAGGCAGCTCTGTTTGTACCGAGTGGGACTATGGCCAATCTCATAGCGAGTATGATTGATACTATTGATTAATTTTACCATTTTGTTATAAATATTTCACATAATATTAGAGAACAGAATAAATTTCAGTATTATAATCATATTATAAAATTAACTTGTAAACTGTTGATTTAAAGCAATTTCTATAATAGATACTATTGTCTTCTATGATATATATATTTTTCACTTAAAATTATAATAACAATTTGATAACAAAATATATATCTTTACAGTTATGGTCCATTGTAACAAAAGGGGAGCCGAAGCTATCGTCGGCAATTTATCTCATATCTATAAATATGAACAAGGTAATTTTTTTTATTGATTTAATGAAACAAAAAAATTTTGTCTCTTTTTAATTCACAATAGTTATATAATCCTTGATAGTTATTAAACCTATGTATTGTTTTCATATAATTAAATTATTATATATTGATATACAGAGAATAATTCTAAGAAAAAAGAAAGCATCATATAATATAAAAGAAGACTGAAATGAAAAACTAAATAAAACTCATAAAAGTTTAACAAATTATTCTATAGAGATAAACTTTCCATATTTAAATTTACTGACATTCATTATTATACTTGGAAAAGATTGAAATGATTGAAAATTCATGAACATTTCTTATATAATAAGCTTGGAAAATAGTACAATTTAGTTTAACAACATATTAATTAAATAATATTTACATTTCCAGGTGGTGCAGCTCATGTTGCTGGTGTATTGTTGAGTACAATACAGAACAAACCAGATGGAACCTTTGACCTGGAAGAACTGGAGAAACGATTCCAGGGATCAGACATACACTCAGCCATCACATCTATGGTCGCCATAGAAAATACACATAATGTTTGTGGTGGAAAGGTATACATCTGATGGTGAAAATTACATATATATATATTATTGAATTTTTCTAATAATAAAATAGATTGTAATAATAAATACTGACAGTTGAATTTATGTTTTAGGTGATATTGAACTTTTCATAAAGATATTTTCCATCTAATTTACAATTCATCCTCAGTAAACATCCACTAAGTTAGATGAATACTGTTATTATTTTTATTACTATAAGAAATTCATAATAGTAAGACAACATTATTCAAGTGAAAATCTCAATCAATGATTTAAAAAAAAGTTTTTAATATAACATGATAAACAACCTCTAAACAATATCATATCTAACTCTTCGTCTGCATATTTCCAGGTGGTGCCGCTCGAATGGATGCAGCAGCTGTCAGCTGTATGTCTCCGTCACGGTGTTCTGCTGCACCTGGACGGCGCTCGTCTCATGAACGCGGCAACTTATCTCCAGGTGCCGCCCGCGAGCATCGCCGCGTGCTGCGACAGTGTGGCCCTCTGTTTCAGTAAGGGACTATCAGCGCCGGTCGGCTCGGCCCTGGCTGGGTCTTATAGCTTTATACAGCAGTGGGTATATTATTATTGTAGACCTATACAGAATAAAATATAAAATAAAAATATTTAGTTTTTGTTACTTACTAATAAAACTTAGGCTAAGACCTAAGTCTCATCTTTGATTTATCGTTAACAATTTATTACTATACTAGCCAACTTATAAGCGAACATTGAAATGATATTGTCATGTAAACTTTATTCAATCAGTACATATGATTGTTGTTTCAGAGCTCGTCGTATGCGTAAGATGCTAGGCGGCGGTATGCGTCAGGCGGGCGTGTTAGCCGCGGCCGCTATAGTGTCTTTAGATCAAGTGGTACCTCTACTGGCCTTGGACCACAAGCGAGCTGCCATTTTGGCTAAAGGTACTGAGAAAAAACTTTTTATCTTTAATATATTGACCGTGCGGGTGTCGAGTCCATCGTTGTAGGGAGAGGAGCTTCAACAGTGACTGTGACTTGCGACCTAGGTTTAGGTTTAAGGCCTCTATCTAACGCGCGTTAAACGCTCACCTCCACTGTCCAAGCTCCTCTCTACACCTAACCAAAATTGAGAAGAACCAACTAAGGTTGCCTCCGAAATACGTTCTAAGTATGAAATGAAGTTAGTTCTGGACAGGAAAAAGTCTTTTAGTAGGTTGTAGAGAAATTTATTTACTTATTTCATTTATTCCTCTCGCTTCCACTTCTACCGCGTATAAATCTACGACGAACTTATCCCGTTATGATAATTTTTGTGATTTAGTGATAAGGTTTAGCTGAATTATATACATAAGTGAATTATTTCTTATATCCAATAAGAAAATCCAAATACGTCCTGGCGTCTGAAACTACTAGAGATAAGAAAAACTAATATTTATATTGAAATATAGAAATTTTGGTTATATATAGTAACTGTATTGGAAGCAATAGTTCAGTGAAGGCCATGTCTTCCAATAAAATGAAGTTCCTTTTACTATTAAAATCACTAAATCGAACCTTTATGACGTTAGTTTTCTATTCTGTTGTGTTGCTTCTTGTATTTTTTTGTTTCGGTGTACAATAAAGTATATTTATCTTATCTTATATTTTGTGAACTTAATAAAATCTCACAAACCCTTCAATTACATTTATTATTCCAAGTTATCTTCATTTCCAGTTATTGAAGGCCTCTTCCTGCCTTGTTTCTCTGTGGACGTGGAGGGTCAACACACCAACATAGTGCTGGTCCGAATCTCCCGGGAGACTAGTCTGACGGCTGACCAGGTGCTGCAGAGACTCGCTCAAGTCTGTCTCGCTGAGACACAGGTGAGTATATAAGGAAAATTAGTATATAAGGACATTTGGTATATAAGGAAAATTTATATTAGTGGAGTGGAGTATACAAACATACTGATATTGAATATATCTTTATATATAAAAGAAGGTCGTGTTAGTTAAGCCATTTATAACTCAAGAAGGGCTGTACGGGTTTGGCTGAAAATTGGTGGAGAGATAGATTAGAACAAGAGAAACGACGTAGGATACTTTTCAACCAATTGAAAAAGAAAAAACAATAAGTTGATCAAATCCATAATCTTCTTATATAATATATGGGTCGTATAGTCATATACAGGGTGACTGGTGAATTACTATCGATATTTGAGGACGTGATATTTGACGATCATATATGACGAAATAAAAATTAATATAACATAAATATGAATAAACTTCTAAGTAAAGTTAACCAAAAGTTATGTAATTAATTACGCATCGTATGAACACCCTACAGATTAGGTATACACACACACACACTCGCGCGCGGCGGCGTGTTGTTGTATCAGCACGCCGCCGCACGCGTCCACACTTAGAACACTTGGAACGTGTACACACTTTATTTATTTATACGGAAATTTGGTCAAAAATTAAGTACCTATTTTTTTACATAATTCGAATGAGAATCATGTACCGAGTATGCTCCTTAAATATTGATAGTAATTCACCAGTCACCCTGTATATATATGGGTAGAAGTTTTAAATATATCTAAATGAAACTAATATTTTCGGATTGTCTCACAGTGACACTCACATCTCGTCTGTCCGTGATCACGGTTGCTGTAAAGTAACCGAAATGTCGGGAGTATGTAGTTTATAGTCAAAAATAAAAAATCCCGTAGTAAATTTGAGAACATTAGTTTCATTTAATTGATTACTCGCGAAAATCTTAGATCTCATTATTTAGTACAGCACACAAGCAAAATTCTCCATTGAAATGAGTGTCTGAATATTTTTCTTACCCAGGGTGACTGCAAAACGCCGGACGACGAAGGTGTTATAGTAAAGGCGATCTGTTTCAACGAGAAGACGATCAGAATGACGTTACACTGTCAAGTGGACGACGAACAACTGTGGCTGGCCATCATGAAGATAACTTATGTGTTCAAGGAACTTAACGCTGCCTACCCAGTTAAAACAACAAATTAAAAACAAATATTTATCACTAGCTGCGCCCCGCGGTGTTACCCGCGGATTTCCGGGATGTAAAGTAGCCTATGTGTTATTCCTGGACGTCAGCTTCCTGTATACAAAATTTTTCAAAATCGGTTCAGCCGTTTGAGCGTGAAGAAGTAACAAACATACACACTCACAAACTTTCGCAATTATAATATTAGTAGGATAAAAACCTCCATATAACCTTTTAACTACTAAATTCCAAGTAAAATTATATCCAGTAAAGTATAAAGACAGTGCATTCAATATAAGTATGTAATGGTTTAAGTGACATTATTGAATATTTATAGGCAGTGGCGGCTGGTGGGTAATCGAACTGGTGGTGCACTTTACTAAAATATTAAAATTAGAAAATGCAACAAAACAATATTTAACGAGATGTCAATCATGGCTAAATTCGTAATACATCGGGTGCTCTCGGTAATCTTCGGCCGCCCGTGCGGCGCTCGAGAACCGACTCATTACTCGGTAAATTTCTATGAACTATCTTTTGTCTCACGCGTCAGGCGTATTAATGCGTATCTCATACAAGATGTATTAGCAGTCCTCGTGCACTCGCCGAAGCGCACGAGATATTAGTTTAGTAAAGCGCTCAAACTCTTTGAGCATAATTAGGAAATTTAATTTTTTATACGTTTTTATATGTTTAAAAAATAAATATTAAAATGGTAATTTTAAGATAAATATGAACTATGTAGTAATATTTTGTAATTTTTAAATCTTTTGAATTGGTGGTTCAGCGCACGAGTGCACTTAAGGTACAGCCGCCACTGTTTATAGGACAAGTTGCTCAATTAACTAAGACACAAATGAACTAGCTTTAATCCTAAATATTGCTCCTAACAATGAACGGACAGACAATAATATTTTTAATATTATACATAGTATATTTTTTATATACAAGTGTTTTCACACAATTCTGTACCTATAATGTATTTTATTCTGGTCTAATTATATTCATAAATGTATAGAAGAAAAGGAATTATAAAAATTTGCCAATTTCTATTTCTTTGAATTAATTTTATAAACATTTCATTAAATTTTCTTACCGTTGTTATTGTAAATAGTTTTTTAATACTACTATATAAGAATCTTTTATATATAAAACAAGTTAATATTAATTGTTGTTTGTTGACAAGTTGTATTCTCGAATATAGGTTATATATAATTAAAACAAATTTTTATGCATCAATTATATTTATTATTTTCCAATGTAAGTATTTGAAGTCATATATGAATATTTTGTTATCTAATACATAAGGCAGGTGTCAAAAATATTGTGATTGTGAGAATATCTACTGTTAAAGGTGGCACTTCTCTTGGCGTTTATTCGCCGCTTTTGTCCAAATATTTGTTTGTAAGCCAAATAGCGCAAACACGACATCCACACTTGGCATGCCAACAATACAACTTTACGCGTTTTCCCTTATTAGTTATTAGTGTATGTGTCTTATTTGCGCAAATATGTCAAATAAAAGCGAATAAATCCTCCACACATTGATTTATTTGGTCGAATACAACAAATAAACGCCAAGTGTAGTGTACACTTTAAGACAAACATGATTTGAATTTTTGATCCTGTTATAATATATGGTTGTTTAAATTTTTTTTTTGTCGCCTTTATGATTTTGTACTAAAAGTGAGTTATAACTTTTGTTATTTTTAGAATTGTGGAAGATGACATTCTAAGTGAAGGTGATGACAATGAAGATGATGATGAAATGGATGATGATGGTGATGAAGAATGATAAATAAAAGGTTTTATACAATAACATGCTGTTTTATTACAAGTAATAAATGAAACTCTTGATTTACATTTAGAATGTTATAACTTTCAATAAATCAATAACTATTAGTCTAAGATCCGGCTGCAGAATCAGTGTACCCATCGAGTGTTTGCTGAAAACCAAAGTTTTACACATATTCATGATTAGGAGAATTTATATCCACCAGGTTGCCTATCAAAAAGTGGCCGCTAGTATTTTTAATTAAATTATTAATAATTCATAATCCGTAAGAAATTTCATTGACTTTTTTTTTCAATGAAATGTCGTCTACTTTACGGCAACATCTATAAAGACTCTGAAAAATTATGGTTGCCGTTGCGCACCTGGCCGCACCTCTTCGCAGCCAGGTATACACAGGTATGAATTTGTTACATTTATACACCCACAACGTACATTTATAATTTATATATCAAATTAAAGCAAATTTTTTTCTGTATATTATTATATACGGTTGCTTAATTAAATCTGGCCGCCAATAAGGGTTGCTGGCATTTTTTGTTACACAGGAAACACGCCTTCATCCTTATAAATTTTATTTCACTTAAATGAGATTGATAATTTTTCGATGCACAAATAAAACAGCAATATATTATGTTGTGTATTACGTACTCCAAACAGCGTGGTTTCGAACTTAAAATAAAAATCACAACTGATCCGTTGAGAACACTAACATCTGACGCATGCGCAATGGCTTTAAACCGTCCGACAGCTGGCAATCGCTATCCTCGTCTGACTAGTGGTGTTACGCGCTAGCTCTCTTTCACTCTACTTTTAATATTTACTATATTTATTAGCCAGCAACCCTTATTGGCGGCCAGATTTAAGTAAGCAACCGTATATAATAATATACAGAAAAAAATTTGCTTTAATTTGATATATAAATTATAAATGTACGTTGTGGGTGTATAAATGTAACAAATTCATACCTGTGTATACCTGGCTGCGAAGAGGTGCGGCCAGGTGCGCAACGGCAACCATAATTTTTCAGAGTCTTTATAGATGTTGCCGTAAAGTAGACGACATTTCATTGAAAAAAAAAGTCAATGAAATTTCTTACGGATTATGAATTATTAATAATTTAATTAAAAATACTAGCGGCCACTTTTTGATAGGCAACCTGGTGGATATAAATTCTCCTAATCATGAATATGTGTAAAACTTTGGTTTTCAGCAAACACTCGATGGGTACACTGATTCTGCAGCCGGATCTCGTACTATATGATGCTACTTGACTTAAATTAGAAGGGCTTTCGTCAGGAGAGAATACTTCGGAATTTCTAACAACAGTAGTATTCATTTTCACAGGCCACACTTTTCTGAATTTCTTGAAATTTTTAATGCCATTATCAGAACTTTTAACTTATAATGGTTCTCTTTTCACTTCAAGATCCTTACATACAATTAGTGTAGTGCATCCTAAGTCAATATTACTCAATTTTTCATCTATTTCTGATATATCTTCCTTCTTCACTTTATTAAGACCAGCATTCAGTTCTAAATCAGCATTTAGTTTCTCTAATTCAACTAATTTTGAACCTCTCATAGCATTAATATTGAGACTTTGACTTATCTCATCATCAATGGGAACTGTTTGTACCGTATTAGTCTTGTTTTCCTGAATATCATTGCTTTTATCAGCGGTCTTTTCTTCGTTAACAAAATTGAATAAGTCGTCTTCATCCCCATCAATAGAATTCTTTCTTTTTAAAGGCTTTGAGAAGTTTAACTTCTTTGTTTTATTATCTACTGTCATAGATGCGACTGTTTTACTTGTACTTGTAAAATTGAACATGTCTTCATCATCATTGTCTTGAAGAGAAATTTTTTTTGCTGGTTTTTCTACTTCAGTTTCTTCTAAAGGTCTTTTTTTTGTTAAACTCAAATTTAAACGCTTTCTTTTGAGACCGTTTGTATCATCACAGTCATCATTAAATTTTCTTTTCATACTAACATTATCTGTACTTTGACTGAGTGATACATCTTGTTTTGAAGTCAAGCTCTCATCTATTGAAATATTTTCTCTTTTACAAACATCTTGTGAAGTTTCTTGAGATTCAACTGCTAATATGTTATTGGTTTTATTCTGTATAGGAGCTTGCTTCATAACTTCCAACGAGAAATTGAAGTCTGGATTGCAATACTTATTTATGGAGCAGTATAGTACTGCCAGACCTATTTCTGCATCAGCCACAACTCGTTTGCCTTTACTCTTGAGGAAATCAATAATCTCCCTGATTTGATCTCGCTGTGATTGAGTTTCCTGACTTATATTTGACAAATTATACTGAATAACAATCACATTGTTTTCACAGAGACCAGATTTGGTCATTTTTGTTTCGCTCAATAGCATGGGTGTAGCTGAACTCTTTATCAAAACAGTCTTATACATCTCTAACTGTCTCCTACTGAAGAAAATGAATTTTTTGCCAGCAAAAATAGTGGATCTCTTCTTGTCAGGAAGAAATGAAACATTTTCTTTATTAAGTGTTGATTCTAATATGTGTGGAACAAAATTAGCAACATTTGGTAATGGAGTATTATTACTAATTGCATCATAGCATTTGTTCCAGTAATCAACAGTTACAATATTGGAATTCTGGACCAATGCAAGGACTACTTTAATTGTCAATGTAATTGCTGGCATTGTCAGGTAAATACATGTGTCATCCCAATCGTTTTTGAGAATCCCACCCAATTTGTTAAGGATGTTTTTCAAGTTTAGCAAATTTTCACCCTTCAATGTGGAAGAACATGTAATGAAATTAATTTTGCAAGCCTCCCACACACAACCCAGTTTGCCAAATTTTATAATAGCATTGCATTTTAAACGTTTCACGCGTTCTGGTTCAACTTTTTCGAAACAGTTAATGAAAGTTCCATATTTAGACCCTACGTCTTTTACGTATAAAAGGCCGTCTTTTATGAATAATGTCGCATGTTTTCTACTTATAAAGGGATCGTCAGGAATGGCAAAGTTACAATTTTGTTCATCTAAACTTCTTCCTACTATAATATTTTTGTTTTCTTGAACATATATTACCCTTTTATCGCTCTCTGAAGTTAAATAATACATTATGACACTCTCGTTGCTGAGTCCATGAAATTTATAAAACCAAGTACCAACTAATTAAAGTTTAAAGAAAGAAGTCTCAAGTCTCAACTCGAAAATGAATACAAAGATATTTTATAGAATTAGGCTTGGGCAAAAAATATCGATATATCAAAATATCGATATTTTTTCAGAAAAATATCGATATAAATCAGCGATATTTTTTCCCGCGATATATCAACTTTCGATATTTATTTTTAGGTATCAAAATCGATATATTTTTTAAAGCTCTGCTGTCTGCTCATGCGTCACATCATGTCTTTAACCAATCTGATTTCTTAGTTGATTTTTCGTAGCTTTATGTACTTATTTTTTAATAATAAAACTGATGTCAAAACAGCCAGATGTGTATTTACTTTAAAATTTCGAATATTTTGACAATTTTTATGGATAATTGCTTATTGCGCAGAAAATATCGATATATCAACATATCGATATTTTTTAGTCAATTATTATCGATATATTTTAAAAATATCGATACGATATATATCGATATTTTTCCCCATTTGCCCATCCCTATATAGAATGGCAAATAGTCATTAGATGCAAAACCGATAAGAAATAGAATGTCTGAAGTCCAAACTATTATAAACGAAAAAACTCAGCAAATAAATAATTGAATTAAAGCAAAATTTTAGAATCAATACCACACTTACTATTTAGCGAAAAATATTGGAAGTAAATATTTTCATAAGATTAGAAAATTTGATCTATATTTAAAAATTATTCAATAATATTAACTTAATTAATATGTTATCTAAAAACTATTAATTATTTTGTACATCGAAGACAAAATATATTTTTCATTTAATGCATACTTCATTAAATATATGACGGCGCATCCGTCAAAAATCATACGTCAGGTTGACTTTTAGCTGTCTGAGGTTAGCCTAGTGAAGCGTCATTGTGACGGTAGTGAGGGCGGCCATCTTTACAGTATCGTGCGAGATGACGCCCGCGCACCGCGCTCGTGACGAATCGCTGTGTATCGAAGTGATAGTGATATCTAGTGTTTCGATTGAGTTGGTGTCGTATTGAATAGACTGTACTTTATCCCTTTCAAAGTATGAGTTCCCATGAAGGCCCTCCTGTTCTTATAACGCCCTCCTACATTAGAAGTGGGATCGAAAGGGCTTTAAAATGAGGAGAGTAGTGATCATCCATCTATGTTAAACTTTGTAAAAAATAATGAGAAACTTGTCGATGAAAATAATGTCAACTTCTCAACTAACTTCGACGACGTAGTTGATCCGGTTCAATCTGGATCGTACGGAAGCAGATATAAGGGTTAGGACGTCTCGTCGTGTCTTGATCGTAAAAGGTACCGGTAATTGAGGCTCGCCGGTGAAGGAGATATCTGTGTGACCATGGGCCGAGCCGAGGGGAGTTGACGACGTCATCTGGTGAGACTGTTCCTTTTCTTTTTAGTAGTGGGTGTACTTGTTCATGTAGTACTAATGTGTGTCTGTATCTGAAAATTTTTCAAATAAATTTCTGTGTACTTTGAGCAATGAAGTAGTTCCCCTGAAAGGCATCGGAGACTTATTGTAATACACAAATTTTAAGCCCGGTCATAATTCAAAGTGTTTCAGTGTCTCTTTTGTTTCATATTATTAAAGAGAATATTATTCTTGAATCCGTGGTTGTTGGACGGGACCTTGTAGAGTGGGGGGTTAAAGGAGAGATAAACAGTGACTACATTATTTTCTCAAAACCTGAAACGACAAAAACAGATAAGTGCCCAACCTCAGACAGTCTTAACTTTTCTTGTATCAAAACTTATTTGGAAGGCGACGATAACAAAGCCCTTATCGATGTTTTTAAGAAGTATAACTCATTTTATTATTAAGGGCACCTCTTAACTCTTTAGACCCTAATTCTTTAGACCCTAACATAGTCTAAGAGAGACCTTGCAAATTATAAGAGGTTGTTCGAAAAAAAAAAAATGGATGCCCTCTTTGAAACAATCATTTTACACTTTATCAAGCCCCATTCTAATTGTAAAAAAAAAAAAAAAACCGAATGACAACTCTGACATAATGTATGTTGACTCTAGGGAGATTAACACCAATTCTTATAGTAAGCCTTTTGTTTTAGAAATTTTATACCGAACTATTTCCGCCTAGTACGATCCTTATGTCTACTCACTAAGTTAAAGGGTTTAATTAAACGGTCAGAAGTCCACGGTAATATTCGTAAATGGATAGTTCAAATACTTACCACGGAGTCTATTCTAACTATATTTGATCGCGAGCCTCCTATAGAATTACACACGAATGCCAGCGCCAACGGATACGGTACCATTTTAATTAAATGAAAGAACGGAGTTCCTCACGTTATTTCATATTTCAGTCGCCGGAAAACTGACACGGAATAAAAGTATCATTCTTATGAACTTGAGACCTCGGCAGTCGTTCGAGCGGAAGAATATTTGAAGCAAAAGCTATATGGTCATCATTTTATCGTTTTCACGGGTGGCAATCCTTTCAAAGCTTCTTAGTTAAAAAAAAAAAAAATTAACACCGAGAGTACATAGATGACCCTGAGCAGGGCACTTCCAAGAGCGACAAAAGCAAGGCTCAAGTAGTTAATAAGTCTGTGCAGTTTGTAGAGGTAAATCAAGGGTGGTTAGCGGTAGAACAAAAACGTGATGCATATGTTCAAGATATTGTTGCTCAGCTCTTAAATAATAAGTTTCCCGATTCAATTAGTCACATCTACGATGTTAGAAACAATATGCTATATCGAAAAAAAATTGAGCGAAACAAAGTTAGTCGTTGGTAACCTATCGTCCATCAGTCCCTTGTATGGACTTAAATCAACCATATCCATACTGAGATAGACACGTTTAGTTTCTTGATGGAGTGCAACGCAGGCAGGTATTTTTAGGTGTTCTGGGATTTGGTCCAGTCACCTTTTGGGATTTAGTCCTCTAGTTCGGTTACCGTCCACTTTTTCAATCACTAGCGGACGTTTAAAGCTGTCCGTAGTTCTGTCAGGGAACTGACCAATCAACGCCAGTATGTGCTGCAAATAGATATTAGATAAGCGCTGACCATATTTTGAGGTATGCGTAACATACTTCGTCATCACCACATTCCTAAGGCATCAATTCTTTGCCTGTCAACGACTTTCATAGTCCACGTCTTTGCACTATACAGAATCGGATAGCTAGATAGATAGAAATATAGAGAAGGCAAGCGTTCGTATCAGATGCATTTTTGTTCCATTAATAATTTTCCTATCTCTCCAAATTTTATTCAGTGGGGTTATTGCTATTTTGGCCATGTAAATTCTCCTACGGATTTGCATACATTTTATTGGCATACTATTCACATAGATATGACTGGGACATTAAGTGGCAAAAGCGACAGAAAAGAAATACGCGTCAGTAATGATTGATTATGTTATCAAGTATGTCCTTTAAGAGCATACTCTATCCCTCGATACCAGTTGTACTATTAAAGCGTTGAGAAAAGCTGTTTCTCTTTTCGGTGTTCTCAAGCGAATTGTTATATCGGGGAAGGGGCTTTGTAAGCGCGGACTTTAGAGAATTGAGTAAAACACCTCGTATAGAACTTTACTTTATAACAACAGGGGCAAATAAAGCCAACGGTCAAGTAGAAAGGGTCATGCAGATTTTAAAATGTCTGCTAACTATTATAGAAAACGATACCCATAAAACGTGGCGTGACAAACTTCCTGAGGTACAAGGGACGAAACCGCTTAGCATTCAATGGATTCACCGTGCGGGTGCCGGGTCCATCGCGTTGCAGGGAGGGGAGCTTCAGCAGTGCCTGGGACTTGCGACCCAGGTGTGGGTTTAAGGGGCCCCTTAACTAACGCGCGTTGTACGCTCACCTCCACTGTCCAAGTTCCTCTCCCTACCTAGCCAAATTTGGAAGGAACCTGCTAGGGCTGCTTTCGACGTACGTTCCGAGAATGAATTGGTGTTGGTTCTGGACGGGCCCAAGTCTTTTAGTAGGTTGTAGAGAGATTTGGCTGTTATGCCTCTCGCTCCCACCTCTACCGCGGACGAACCTATTTCAAGTTAGTTCGTTAGTGAGCTCGTAATACTTAATGACCTTGATGGCATGGTCTTTGGGGATGTTGGTTTCCCAAGGCACCGTAGGCTCTATCATCACAACGCGCTTTAAAATACGCGAATATAGAAATATGTCTGGTCTGGAGGCTGACGCACAAATATCCTCGGGGATTTTGTGTTGTTTCTCATACGTATCCATCATGATAGTCCAATCCGAAGCCGCTTTAAGGATAGAGTAAGGCTTGACGTTTGATTTTATAGCCCTGGTGCTCTCTCTCACAAAAAACCTATTGATCGCTCGTTTGTGGTTATTTCCCTTTGCGCTCTGGCTACCGAAAGACTAACCGCTTCAAGTATGATCTCTAAAACCCTATAGTGACGACGCGAGAATTGACCGCTGTCCAGGAGAACCTTACATCTCACTAGCAAATGCTTAGCAGTTCCAACTGCCTTCCCGCAGATATAGCAAGTGTTTTCGGTACCTTTACCCCATCTTACTAAATTACTCTGATCTGGGAGAGTCATCTAGCACTTAATAACACAAGCCGTAGTGTTACAGGATATACTCCAACAGAACTAATGTTTGGCATTCGCGCGCAATCTTTAGGGATATCATTAATAGCCCTTTAGGGATATCATTAATATCCGGAATAAAACTTCCCTCAACACTGAAAACGCAGATCAAAAGGAAGTAGTTAAATTTAGTAAAGGCAAAGCCCAAGTAAAACCTTTTTTCTTTCTCGGGGAGATTACGTTTTTGTTAAGTGTAGCGAATGTTACCAAACTAAACTGCAAAGAAAGTTTAGGGGACCTTTTATCATAACTAAAATTCTAGACAACGATAGGTACGAACTGAAACATACCGATGAATCTAATTGCACTTTAAAATACTCTCATGAAAACTTGGGCGCAGTACCCAGAGGCTTTGAAGGGTTAGTTGACATATCCACTGAACTAAGTAATGAGGAGGCCGAGACGGCGGGTCATGGAGTGGAGAGAATGGAAACGAAGCTATGTCAGATGATGAAAGTGAGTAGCTGAGTAGCTCTGATGGCCTCCAACATTGATAAACCATAAATGAGTTGTGTAAGTTTGAGTTGGTGTGTTTGAGGTGGCGATGGAACTGGCTGATGCGGCCGATGTTTCTAGTAGTGATGGATCAAAGCGTGCAGGGGCTGGCTCGATGGAGTCCACGTCCGGTCGACGCTTGATCAGGTTGTGAAGATGGACGGGCTAGCTCTGTGGAGTCTATGTCCGGGTCATCGTTCACTCACATGAGTATAAGTAGTGGAGATGATGGGGCTAGCTCATTGGAGTCTCGATCATCGTTCATTCGTTTGGCTGAGTTGTTCTGGATGCTCTGCAGATTGTGGTCAGACGAATATTGTCGTCCAGGTCAGAGCCATTTAAGTTGGCTGACTTGTTCTGGTAAGACGAATATTGTCGTCCGAGTCAGAGCCATTTAAGTTGGCTGACTTGTTCTGGTAAGACGAATGAAGTCGTCCGAGTCAGAGCCATTTAAGTTGGCTGACTTGTTCTGGTAAGACGAATATTGTCGTCCGAGTCAGGAGCCATTTAAGTTGGCTGACTTGTTCTGGTAAGACGAATGTAGTCGTCCGAGTCAGGAGCCATTTAAGTTGGCTGACTTGTTCTGGTAAGACGAATGTAGTCGTCCGAGTCAGGAGCCATTTAAGTTGGCTGACTTGTTCTGGTAAGACGAATGTAGTCGTCCGAGTCAGGAGCCATTTAAGTTGGCTGACTTGTTCTGGTAAGACGAATGTAGTCGTCCGAGTCAGGAGCCATTTAAGTTGGCTGACTTGTTCTGGTAAGACGAACGTAGTCGTCCGAGTCAGGAGCCATTTAAGTTGGCTGACTTGTTCTGGTAAGACGAACGTAGTCGTCCGAGTCAGGAGCCATTTAAGTTGGCTGACTTGTTCTGGTAAGACGAACGTAGTCGTCCGAGTCAGGAGCCATTTAAGTTGGCTGACTTGTTCTGGTAAGACGAACGTAGTCGTCCGAGTCAGGAGCCATTTAAGTTGGCTGACTTGTTCTGGTAAGACGAACGTAGTCGTCCGAGTCAGGAGCCATTTAAGTTGGCTGACTTGTTCTGGTAAGACGAATGTAGTCGTCCGAGTTAGAGCCATTTAAGTTGGCTGACTTGTTCTGGTAAGACGAACGTAGTCGTCCGAGTCAGAGCCCTTTAAGTTGGTTGACTTGTTCTGGATGCTTTGAACATTGTGGCAAGACGAATGTAGTCGTCCGGGTCAGAGCCCTTTAAGTTGGTTGACTTGTTCTAGATGCTTTGAACATTGTGGCAAGACGAATGTAGTCGTCCGGGTCAGAGCCCTTTAAGTTGGTTGACTTGTTCTGGATGCTTTGAACATTGTGGTGAGATGAATGTTGTCGTCTGGCTTAATTGCTACGAGATGCTCGCCTTAAGCCTTAAGTACCATAGCACATTTTGATGATTGTAACTAGTCGTTTGTCAGGATGCCGAACGGAATAGACACAACTGTAGTTCATTGATCCGAGAACCGCCCGAGGACGGTCGGATGTCAGTCCGGCCGTGACGGCGCATCCGTCAAAAATCATACGTCAGGTTGACTTTTAGCTGTCTGAGGTTAGCCTAGTGAAGCGTCATTGTGACGGTAGTGAGGGCGGCCATCTTTACAGTATCGTGCGAGATGACGCCCGCGCACCGCGCTCGTGACGAATCGCTGTGTATCGAAGTGATAGTGATATCTAGTGTTTCGATTGAGTTGGTGTCGTATTGAATAGACTGTACTTTATCCCTTTCAAAGTATGAGTTCCCATGAAGGCCCTCCTGTTCTTATAACGCCCTCCTACATATACATTTAGTACCTAGTATACTATTGACAGTTCCCATGGCAACGCCATAATAAACAAACCGGTTTCCGCACAATAGAGCAATATATTTTGAATACTTACTTCAATTTTTATTTTTTAAGCTAAAATATGACTTTATACATTGATAAAAAATTGAATTTTATTGATACCAACGTTGTTACAACCTTAGGATCTAAAGGAGCGTTTAGGTGAATTATATACATAAGTGAATTATTTCTTATATCCAATAAGAAAATCCAAATACGTCCTGGCGTCTGAAACTACTAGAGATAAGAAAAACTAATTCATACTAACTAGCATGGATATCGATTAACTAGCTTCTGCCGCGACTCCGTCCGCGTGGAATAGTGACTTTCGGCATTTTTGGTTCTTCCCACATAGTTCCCGTTCTTGTGGGGTTTTCGGAATGGTCGAGTTCCCGTAGAATTTTCAGGATAAAACCTATGTTTTTTTTAATTCACAATGAAGTACTCTTAACCAACAACATATTTATTTGTTTATTTGAATAAAGATTAATATTATTATGTTGATACAACTTAAACAAATTATTTCGACCAAATTAGGTACCATAAAAACGGTTCCTGTGAGTTAATCTTAAAAGATAGACATATACTGTCGCTGAGTGTTTTTTAGATCATTAAAAGAGCTATTATTCTTTAATACATATTTTTTGTGTATCTTGAACCGTTTTCACGGCGCACGCAACGGAAGGCTTCAAAGATGAAATAATTTCTCCCGTTTTTTACACATTTACCACAATATCTTTGCTCCTATTGGCCGTAGCGCGATGTTATATAGCCTAAAGCCTTCCTCGATAACTGGACTGTCCAACACAAAAAGAATTATTCAATTCGAACCAGTAGTTTCGGAGATTAGCGCTTTCAAACAAACAAACAAACAAACTCTTCAGCTTTATAATATTTTATCGATTAATATAATTATTTTTGACTTAAATTATATTTATATTGAAATATAGAAATTTTGGTTATACATATATAGTAACTGTATTAGAAGCAATAGGTCAGGGAAGGCCATGTCTTCCAATAAAATGAAGTTCCTTTTGCTATTAAAATCACTAAATTGATCCTTTGCTTCGTTCGTTTATTGTTTATTTTGTGAACTTAATAAAATCTCACAATTCCTTCAATTACATTCATGGTTATTATTCTAAGTTATAATAAAACCTGGTGTGACGAATGTTAACAAAGTTATATGTTTAAGTTAGTAATGTTCACAACTAAGTGACTATGTATTGTCTTGTTGAGAATAAAGATCTTTAAACCTATGTTATCTTCATTTCCAGTTATTGAAGGTCTCTTCCTGCCTTGTTTCTCTGTGGACGTGGAGGGTCAACACACCAACATAGTGCTGGTTCGAATCTCCCAGGAGACTAGTCTGACGGCTGACCAGGTGCTGCAGAGACTCGCTCAAGTCTGTCTCGCTGAGACACAGGTGAGTATATAAGGAAAATTAGTATAGGTATAAGGACATTTGGTATATAAGGACATTTGGTATATAAGGAAAATTGGCATGAGTGGAGTGGAGTGGAGTATACAAACATACTGACATAGAATATATCTATATAGGTGCAAGAAAGTCATGTTATTTACACTATTTATAACTCAAGAACGGCTGTAGGGATATGGTTGGAAATTTGTGGAGAGATAGCTTGAAACAAGGGTAAGCATATAAGATACTTTACATCTGATTGAAAAAGGAAAAAAAAAATGATCAAATCCAAAATCTTCTTATCTAGTGTATTGAAGGAGTTATAGAGTTCACCTGGTCATATATGGGTAGAAGTTTTAAATATATCTAAATGAAACTAATATTTTCGGATTGTCTCACAGTGACACTCACATCTCGTCTGTCCGTGATCACGGTTGCTGTAAAGTAACCGAAAGGTCGGGAGTATGTAGTTTATAATCAAAAATAAAAAACCGAATTGTAAATCCTAAAATATTAGTTTCATTTAATTGATCACTTCCAAAAATCTTAAGATCTCATTATTTAAATATATCATTGAAACTAAATACTTATAATAGAACAGCACACAAGCAAAATTCTCCATTGAAATGAGTGTCTGAATATTTTTCTTACCCAGGGTGACTGCAAAACGCCGGACGACGAAGGTGTTATAGTAAAGGCGATCTGTTTCAACGAGAAGACGATCAGAATGACGTTACACTGTCAAGTGGACGACGAACAACTGTGGCTGGCCATCATGAAGATAACTTATGTGTTCAAGGAACTTAACGCTGCCTACCCAGTTAAAACAACAAATTAAAAACAAATATTTATCACTAGCTGCGCCCCGCGGTGTTACCTGCGGATTTACGGGATGTAAAGTAGCCTATGTGTTATTCCTGGACGTCAGCTTCCTGTATACAAAATTTTATCAAAATCGTTTCAGCCGTTTGAGCTTGAAGAAGTAACAAACATACACACACACACTCACAAACTTTCGCAATTATAATATGAGTAGGATTAAAACCTCTATATAAACTTTTAACTACTAAATTCTAAGTAAAATTATATCCAGTAAAGTATAAAGACAATGCCTTCAATATAAGTATGTAATGATTGAAGTGACATTATTGAATATTGATAGGACAGGTTGCTCAATTTACTAAGACACAAATGAACTAGCTTTAGTCCTAAATATTGCTCCTAACAATGAACAAACAGACAATAATATTTTTAATATTATACATAGTGTATTTTTTATATACAAGTATTTTCACACAATTCTGTATAGTGTATTTTATTCTGGTCTAATTCTATTCATAAATGTATAGAAGAAAAAGAGTTATGAAAAATTTGCCAATTTATATTTAAATTTTATAAACATTTTATTGAATGTTCTTCACTTGTTAGTGTAAATAGTTTTTTAATACTACTATAATTATCTTTTATATAAATAACAAGTTAATATTAATTGTTGGTTGTTGACAAGTTGTATTCTCGAATATAGGTGATATATATTAAAACAAATTTATATGCATCAATTATATTTATTATTTTCAAATGTAAGTATTTGAAGTCATATATGAATATTTTGTTATCTAATACATGAGGCAGTTGTCGAAAATATTGTGATTGTGAGAATATCTACTGTTAAAGGTGGCACTTCTCTTGGCGTTTATTCGCCGCTTTTGTCCAAATATTATTTGGTCGAATACAACAAATAAACGCCAAGTGTAGTGTACACTTTAAGACAAACATGATTTGAATTTTTGATCCTGTTATAATATATGGTTGTTTAAAATTATGTTAGTTTTATTACTAAATTAATTATTACAAAATATAAAGAATTATTTATGTACTATAGTTGTATCAGACTAGTGGATTTTTACAAATCTTTTATATTTAAATATCTAACACATCCTTAATAGTGACATAAATATAAAAACTTATATAAAAATGTGATCTTCATAATTATTATGTACTTCAATACTCATGATTAAAATCAAAATTGATATTTGTACTAAGAAAATTCTACAAAATATAATTAAATATATACAGGGTGACTGGTGAATTACTATCAATATTTAAGGAGCATACTCGGTACATGATTCTCATTCGAATTATGTAAAAAAAATAGGCACTTAATTTTTGACAAAATTTCCGTATAAATAAGTAAAGTGTTGACACGTTCCAAGTGTTCAAGTGTGGACGCGTGCGGCGACGTGTTGATACAACACCACGTCACGACATGCGTATGTGTGAGTGTCAGTGTATACCTAATCTGTAGGGTGTTCATACGATGCGTAATTAATTACATAACTTTTGGTTAACTTTACTTAGAAGTTTATTAATATTTATGTTATATTAATTTTTATTTTGTCATATATGATCGTCAAATATCACGTCCTCAAATATTGATAGTAATTCACCAGTCACCCTGTATATGTACATTATATAAAATAACTTATAAATCAAATGTTATTTGAAGTCAATGAAAAAATTCTTTCTAGACATAAAAATAATGTACACTAATTATAATTATATCTACAAATCACTATAACAAATACATAGTTCCAAATCAAGCAGATCTAGTAAACACTAGCTAATTCACCCGACTTTGCTGTTAGGGTTCTGTATATGCAGGTGTTTCCAAGTCATCATGAGAACCTCTGGGTCGTTGAAACCATGGGACGCTATCACATCCTTGTAACCATCTATAGAAGAGCTCTTCTTGTAGAAATAAATTCTAGGACAATGAGTTAGAGGTATGTTCGCCTTCTTGGCAACTATTCCTAGATAGATGTCGTCGAAACGGAAGTTCTTAACGAATAAACTAGCCGCATACATGACCTTCATGGCGCGGTTAGAGAGGACATACGCCCCGGCCGTGATGTACGGCGGCCAGCGGTCGAAAGGATATTCTTCTAAACTGATGCGCCACTTACTGGATTTGAATCTCTGTGGACTAGAATGGAACATGTAACCAGCGTAAAATAAGCTATCTCTACCATTAATTTGTGTTCCACTCGACGGATCAATTTGTTTGGTGTCAGTTTGTTCTTTAACGTATTCTAGAAGATTCTCGATTGAGACGTACATGTCGTCGTCGGTGAAGAAGTAGTAGTCCGCGATGGGGCAGTGCTCGTACAGCCACCTGAAGGCCATCATTGTCTTGATGGTGTTATTATGGTACGTATCTTGGAAGTCTACTTGTATGATGTCCTTGTAATCCGCCATTTCATGCTCGAGCCTCCTCTGCGTCGCAGACTTGGGTTCATCGACCCCGACGAAAAACATCGTACTCATAACGATCCCCTGATTGAAAGTTTCCATTCCGTACGTCTGTCGTATAGCTTCGCGTCTTTCAAAGTTGTTCATAGCGGATTTTACGATGATGAACAAATCGATTTTTTCTATTAGCGTACATTTCCCAGAATTGCTCAGAAATCTGTATGGGTAGAAGTTAATGGGAGCCACTGAAGGTTTCTTCCCAGCGAGGACTTCGTCCACCAGAGGTCGTATGTCGATGTTGAGGGGGTAATCGAACTCCTTGTCGTAACTCCTGGCGTGTATATAGTCATCGACACCGAACACATAGTAAAGAAACACAAACACACCAACGACCACTATATAAAGATACTTCCTCTTCCTCATCTTAAAAAATGTCCAATTGTTTGAGATTCTATTTTTACCGAGATTATTCAGCGGTATCCTGTAATGGTAAAATTTGTTCAAATTCAATAAATTTCATAATATTAAATTCTCCCTTACCACTTTGTTTATGATGATGTATAGAAGACTCCCCAAGCTTGAAATTAAAAAAAACCTTTATAAGTGTTAATATATATAAAACTATATTTTTGTATTAAATGATTTTAAATAGGTAAAACAAACTAAATGTAAAATTCTGATTTCTTAATTAAGATCTTCGTAAAATTTTTCTAAAGGTTTTAATTAGGTTTGTAACGAAAAATATATGTACACATATATATGTTACTTTTAGAAAATTGACCATAAAATGAAAACCAATTTATGGATATAAATTTGTCTACAAATACAGTGGAATGTGTTTATAATGAAATCAAAGAAAACTGACGAACACGTCATATTAAGCGGACGTCATACAAAGACTTGGACTAATAAAACCTTTTTTTATGTAGTATACCGTATACGTACTTACTCATTAAAATAAAGATACATTGCACAAAATGCAGGGATGTATAGTGCGTTTGATTTAAGCTTTGCATTTGTGTGAGCGCACACGGATAGTGTAGGTGTGATGTCAAATTTTCCCCTTTGTACTGGTAGCGTCAAATGTTGAAAACGCAATGTCAAGGCAAGTAGGATTTGTATAGAATAGAAAAAAAAATATTTTTTTCATATTTCCATGTGGCCTTTTAAAAGTTTTGCGTATTTTATTTTTAATCTAGAATAGCTCTCGCACGTATGTTATGTATCTATTTAAAATATAAATAAAATAAATATTTTTTGTCTAACTCTACTTTTACTTTCACTCACACAAATGCAAAGCTCAGCTTAAGTCTAACGGACTACAGTGGACCCTCGGTAATACGACATGATCTACAGTGGACCCCCGGTAATCCGGCACCCCCTGTAATCCGACATGATCTATTATTTATTATTGAATACATATTTTGTATTCGCTAATGTATTAAGTTACAACGTGTACGAACCACTATTGTGCTCGACGCGTAGGGTTGTTTTGATTCTGAATGCTTGGTTGGAATTTGACTACGTGCGGCCTAGTGCATGTTTACTATTTATTCATTTTGTATTTCGTATACGTACCTAGTAATGTCAGAAGCTCAGAAGCGAAAGCACAAAACACTGACAATTAAAGAAAAATGTGATATTTTAGACCGCCTAAATCGCAATGAATCTTTTAGTAGTTTAGCAAGTGAATACGGCGTAGGCCGATCTACAATTTATGACATTAAAAAAAATCAAGAGAAGATTAAACAATTCGTGTCAACTACTGACTGTGGGCCAGGCAAGAGACAAACACTCAAGAAAGCTGACCATCCAGAAGTGGAACAAGCTTTATACATGTGGTTTCAAGAAAGAAATAGGGATGCGCCGATTTCGGGACCCATGTTGGCAATGAAAGCTAAATATTTTTATAAAGAAATAATAAAAAAAGATGATTTCGTGGCTAGCAAGGGATGGCTAGAACGTTTCAAAAGTCGTCATGGCATATGTTTAATGACCATTACAGGAGAGAAACTTTCTAATGATGCAACCTGCATAGAACCATTTAAATTAAATATTTAAATGTACATAATTTAAATTATATACATTTGTTTTTTTTTTAAGTTCTATAGCATTAATGACGTTAATTTTATAATAGAACGTAAGCTCTCTATTGTTGTTTAATATACTAAATTTGACATACATAATGAAGCATGATTTGTACTTCAGAGTAACATATGTGTATATAATATCTAAATAATCTTATCACTGTTTCTGTAATTTGTCGGATTACAAGGTACTCTTTTGTAAAAAAAATCCGGACTATAGGGGGTCTTAGGCAGTACTCTATAATCTGACGAATTCGATAGTTCGACACTGCCCTGCAAAATGTTTGTCGGACTACCGATGCCCACTGTATACTATATTTTTAATTTTTTTAGAGTAAGCATACTAAAACCAATCCTCATTTCTTAAAAATGGGCCATACTAAGCCAATTCTACTGTATTTGAAACAGCACAAGAGATATTTCATATATGCTATCACTACATTTTCTTGCTTAAGACATTGTTAATATGAAATAAAAGTAGACATGTAATATCAAATACATGTATTTCTATACATTAAAGATTTATTGAAAAGTTATTATATATATATAAAAATAAAAATGAAATATATTAAATTATATAATTAATTAAAATACACAAATTACTAGTAGAATAAATTAAATGCTCATCATCTGATCTAATGAAACATACAATATGATTACACTAATACATACTTCAAGTTTTTTTTAATTTTCCCTAATTCTTAATATTTTTTTATTACATGGCAATACTCACTTAATTATTCACAATGATGTATCAACAGTGGAACTGATGGAGACCGGAGGCAGGTAGTGGCTTCGGATTCTGCTGTGAAGCCGAGCTATTTCATTGTCCATAACTTCCATTTCACGCACCAGTTGTGTAAACTGTACTATACCTGTTAATATAATAAAATATTTGAACACTACACATGAACATACCCTTGCCTCTTGTATCATCAAATAAAAAAAACATTCAGTGTTTTTTATACATCAATAATCTATATTATCATGAGCAAATTAAACTAATCAAAATAAAACTTGAAATTGCTTGGGACTTAACAGACAATGTAAAGTATCAAAAAATGAAATTATCCTTTATTTCATACATCTAAACTTGAGTTAGTTTCCTTTGTAATGTGCATAAAAATAGTTCAATACCTTAAGGAATGTAATAAATATTTACTTCCATACACTTGATAAATATTTTAAATAGTTACAGGTACATAGTATTATCAGTTGTTACTTTTGTTAATTTAAAATAATGAGTGTTTTAAAAGTTTTATTTTGGAAAACTTTAACCATCATTCATAACCCTTGATATATGTAGTACGTTAAAGATTATTAGTACTGGCACAAGTGCAATTACCTTCCCGAGAAGCACTGAAGCCATGACGCTTGATAGTTTCAATTTCAATCTGAACAACCATTGGGAATACGAGTTGCATCATTTTAAGCATTTCATTTCCAGCTGCTTCTTTGGCCTCGTCCAATTTAGATGCGTAATCTGGAGATTCTAAACAGTCTATCACTTCATTCAGAATCGTTCGAACCTGTTCTACAGACGCATTAGAGGCTGCTGCCATTGCATCGACACTGAAAGAAAAGTCCTCGTATCAACCAAATATTATATTAATAACGGGCGTAAATTATTCTTGTATTATTAAAAACCTCTTGGTCATTCCTCTTTTGATACTTTTTAGTAATAGTGTCTGTATGTTGGAATAACAAGATTGAATGAAATTAATTAGTTATCAGTTAAATCTAAGTTATTACTCACATCTGCCCAAGTAAGACAAAGACACATTCGAATAATTGAGTTAGTTTCCTTTCTATAATTAATTTAGGTTTAATTAAGACCTCCAACTGAACTTTTGTTAAAACTTAAAACAATTCACTTGATTAGCATAGTTATTAAAATTTATACTCTGCATTCTACAAAATTTACAATGTACCTATATAAATCTACTGATTTGTTTTTCTTTTCATGGTCTTTACTGTTTTATTGAATTATACTTCTCTAATAAAAACATAATTTTAAAAGGAATATAACTAAACTTTATAAATATATAGTCATATTTAATGCAATAAAAGAAAACGGAAAAACATAACATTATTATGATGTTTCTACAGTGGCAACATTCTATTTTTTTATGGTAACATTTATTGACCGACTTTGACAAACGTCATTGATAGATTTCAACAATCAAAATCATGACAAAAACAAATCTGAATTATAACAATTACAAATGATTATTTATATTTTATAAATTATAATGATATTATCTTATCACAGTACAGTCATATTACGATCGATAATTTTATGATAATATGAAGCTTTAATAACTTATATCCTGATAATGCTCACTTCAATATAATCTATTAAATAAATACCTCATCAACCATTATACAGTAATCGTAACTAATTGATATAAGAAAAATTTATACGTATTTTTTATATTCTTTGGCTTATCAAGAACCGAAAATTATATTTAACTGTTTATATTGATAATATACAAATGTAAATAGTTTAAGTACAAACTGTTTCATCGCATATATTAGTTAAAAAAAAACACATACCTATATATCGAAGTGAAGATGGAAGATGGTACAGAAGAGATAGAATTAAGGCCGTCCAGTGTGCTACGAACTTCTACACTCAGAAACAATGCTGCTCGCCAAGTTGTTAATTTTATGCCCTCTCGACAAGCTGGTTGCAGTGAGTATCAAATCATTACAAAGATAAAATTATTCAAAGTTAAGCATCAAAAAGACTTATTTCACTTATTAAACAGAACTATAGTATTTATTTTTAAATCTATAATTTCTATACAAACTTTTCTACTACATAAGATAGCTCAAATATCCTGACAAATGTGAATGATTAAGCTTTTCAGTGTTGTATGTATAGGACTAACGGAGAGCAAAGTATTAATAAACATAGCAAACAAAAAGGGTAATGTTCCTGACCTTAATTAGGTCTAATTGAATGGAAAGTCAGTGAACCAGTTGCTTTGAGGCCACAAGAATAATTTTAATATTGGAGAATTTGTGTTTTTTATTAAATTTACACATTAATCATGTACATTATAGAAGTTGGTGTTTAAAAGTAACTTTAATTTTCTAATTTCAACTGAATTAACAATTAGACTTTGTTAAAATGTGAGTAATAGTTTTAATGTCATTGGAATTACATAGTGAATTGTATGAAAATTTATACCTTTCTTTTCTTATCTTTGAATTTATTTTAAAATAATAAATAAAAAACCTCCTTAGTGTCCATAAATATTCCAAGGAGTTTTTATTTAATTTTTCAACATTAAATATATTAAGACTATAATATGTACAATAGATACGGTACGACTTCGCCGCTCAAACAGCTCTCACAGGGCTCTTCTTGAGATGTGTGAGGAAACAGATGTACCAGATGCCACCGACAAGCAGGCTGATTATATTGTACGGGGTATGGAACAACACCAGCAGTTGATGGAGGATAATCCACTCTCGGAAGAACTTAGGAGGTTGGTAGAAAGAAAACCCTTAGTTTTGGGGCTGTTAGATTGATTAAGACCAGTTTTGGGGCTGTTAGATTGATTAAGATCAGTTTTGGGGGCTGTTACATTGATTAAGACCAGTTTTGGGGCTGTTAGATTGATTAAGACCAGTTTTGGGGCTATTAGATTGATTAAGACCAGTTTTGGGGCTGTTAGATTGATTAAGACCAAGTTTGGGGCTGTTAGATTGATTAAGACCAAGTTTGGGGCTGTTAGATCGATTAAGACCATTTATTGAACCAGAAATGTCCCTAGCCCATGGACCTTCACTCTTACGTTTAAGTGGTGCTAGTAAATTTAGGAACACTAGTTATTTAACATACATTACATAATTTAACAATTACTACAAAAATAATTTATATTTGATTTAGGTGTTTAATTGGCTGTGGAATAGTTATTGAAACTGTTTTTCTTCAAGATATATTACTATAATATATATTTTTTGGTTTAAAGTTATTCGCATATCATTTTATCCATTCATAGGGAAGCTCTAAGGGATCTGCCTCAAGGTTTGACAATGAAGAGGAATGTGCGAGCAAAATTGTCAGCATCAGTCAGTTTGAGATCTAAACATAGACCAATATCCATGTTCAAGAGAATGAGATATCGGCTCAGCTTTACTTGGAAAAGGGTGAGACTCAAATATTTCGCACAAAAATGATAATATCATGTAATTTGTAATGTAACAAGACATATTTGGCTAAAAAAATCAGTATTGACAAGAAAAGAGCTAAGATTATCACGACTCTTATTCATTTAAATGAATCTAATATTTTCGGATGCACTACACGACTTTATTTTTGTAAAAAGTATCGACAAGTCCAAAAAAGAAAACAAATACATAAATTATATTACAATTTTAAATCGTTTCAGATGAGAGAGCACTTCAGAGACTTCATTTTCTCCATTGAGTTATGGTATGAAGCTATCCGTACTATAGAAGGTCACCTGGGTTCGTCTGTGGGAGCATATTTCCACCTTCTCCGTTGGTTATTCTGTCTCAACCTATTGCTTTCCATCTTCGTCATCAGCTTCATAGTGGTCCCTCAAGCTCTATATGATAATGCCTCCAATCGAACCACCGAATTGAGTGCTCTAGACTTTCTTACTGGACAGGTAAGATGATTTTGATGTCACAAATATATTAAACTAGTTTTTGCTCGCAACATCGTCCGCGTTAATTTCGGAATTAGTAATATATGTATGTATAGATGACTGGCCGAACTTTATTCCGCCCTGGAAGTCGTAAATAAGCAGATATTGGAAATTATTATTATTTTTTTCGATCTAACAGAATTAAATATCCTATGTCCGTGTCCTGGTTCTAAGCTACTTCTTCACAAATTTCCAACTAAATCCCTACAGTCATTCTTGAGTTATAAATAGTGTAACTAACACAACTTTCTTTTTATACATAGATGTGGCCTTTCATACACTCTATTATAGCAAAAACATAAAGTATTTTTGATAATAATGATATTTCTTATTATTTATCCTAATAATTCCATCAAATTTATTTCCAGGGAGGTTTATCCGACAGCCTGTTGTTCTACGGTCATTACCACAACGGTTCTATATCCACCATAGCCCCTCTCAGTTACTACATGCCGTACGCGTACTTCTTCACTATGATCACCCTGTATATAACGTTTTTCGTCATCCTGTGCTACAAGTGAGTTGATATAGTTTTATTATAATATTTCTATTAATTATTTATTAAGATGACAGCACTATAGAAAAATCATTATTATATTTTACAATATTGGTATGTTATATAATTTACTTTACTTAGCTACTGTAATATGTACATTAAGAATATATATATATATATAGAATTACATTAAGTGCATAGTTTTTAGTCGAGAATAGTACAGAAATATAATATCTTGAAATTTGAAACCAATGTAAGATTTTGGCGAAAGAGATTTTTGCACAGGGATGGTCCAAGTCTATATTCTCATTAAGTTGTTCTCTTAGTAAGTTCCATAATAAAGTTAGTGGTGACCTAGTGGTTAAAAGGCCCGCCTCTAAGTCACGAGGGCGCGGGTTCGATCCTGGGCCCGGCAAGACCCAATGTGATTTTTCATATGTTCTTTCAAAGAGTATTTAGACATCACTATAATGCATTCCCAAAGAGGGTTGATGTCAGGCAGGCGGCCGGTCGTAAAAACAATTAGCCAAAACAAAACATGTAAGACAGACCCTGGCTGAAGCTGGGAAATTGCCAGATAGAAGAAGAGTAATTTCCATAATATTTATTACATTCTAGGAGCGCGTACTCCTATCGTCGCCACTTCATCACTCCTCACGGCAGCGGGTCCGTAGGTCAGTTATTGTCGTCCAAATTGTTCTGTGGCTGGGACTTCGGCGTGGCCTCGCCCGCAGCCGCCGCGCTGTCATCCGCCGCGCTATATCATGACTTCAAGGCAAGAAATATATATTTACAGCAATAGCAAAAAAGGGCTAGTACGGTCCGATAGTTAATTTTTTTGGTAGATTCTAAGAAAAAACTAAAAGTATTAAAATTTATGATGTTACGTATGCATATATATGGTTAAGGCAAGCAATATATAGTAATAAATGGCTAGGATGGTCCGATAGTTAATTTTTTTTGGGTAGATCCTTAGAAAAAACTTAATGTATTAAAATTTATGATATAACGTATGCATATCTATGGTTGTGGGCTGCGTCTTTCTTTGAATAAAGCAATCAGTGTGCAACTGACTTGCGTATTTGAATGACGTCTATATCACTCCGCACAATACTTAACACATGCTATCTTTTAAATATTTTTTGCGAAACAATTATTTTTATATATTGCTATAGCAACATATATACTTATAGCAGTTTTTGTACAGCAATATCAAAGATGCCTAAACCCGAAAAATGGCTAGTTTAGTCCATTGATTTCTTTTTATTATATTCTTACAAAAAAACAAAAATAATTAAATTTAATGCCATCTATAATATCAATCATCAATTACCCGTATAACTCTGTATCGTAAATATTAATATACATATATATACACCAGGAGATCCTTAGCGAGCAGAATACCAAACGTTCAGTGGATTCCTGGTACGTGAAAGTCTTATATCGTGTGGTGAAGGTGTTCATCATGATGATGGTGATAGCTCTCATCGGAGGGCTCCAGTACGGGCTGTGGCTAATGATGGACTCGTCTGGCTGGACGGAAAACATGGAACCAGTGACGTCACTGGTCATTACAGCCGTGGTCATTATATGTCCGGTCATATTCAATCTGGTGGTCAAGTGAGTGGTCATTAATAGTTAATATGTATGTAAGGTTAGGGAGGTAGATTTATGTCATACTAGCTTTCCGCCCTCAGCTTCGCCCGCGTGGAGTTCGGTTATATCGCGTATCCAAGAGAACCTTTCAAAAGTCTGGGATAAAAACTATCCTATGTTCTTTCTCAAGGTCAACTCCATCTCTGTACCAAATTTCATTAAAATCAGTTCAGTGGTTTAGGCGTGAAAGCGTAAGAGACAGACAGAGTTACTTTCGCATTTATAATATTAGTAGGGATCTTATCTTTATGTGTAAAAGAAAGTTGTGTTAGTTACACTTTTTAAACTCAAGAAGGACTATTATATGGTTGAAAACTGGTAGGGAGGCAGCTTAGAACAAGGAAAAGGACATAGGATACTTAACTCTATTCAATTCTGAAAGAAAAAAAAAACTTCAAATATCTGGTTATTTATGGCTTCTAGGGTGGAAAAGAGTTAACTCGGTCAGCTATACCTTATTACTAATGCCTAAATTAACGCAGACGAAGTACTCCCAAAAACTAGTTAGATATAAATGAAGTTTTTTTTGCAACAATACTAACATTTTTAATTAATGATTTTGTTTGCGTCTTGACCCTAATTTTTATAATTTATTCCTATATTATATATAGGTTGGAGCATTATTCATCTCGCACGTCACTATACGTATGTCTGGTCCGTACGTGTGTGTTGCACGTGTCTACTACACTGATGCTGATGCTGTACTGGACCAGAGGTGACCGAGAGGTATGTAGACAATATTGGCTATATCAGGGCTCTCCAAATCATGATTCATATCAGGGCTGTCCAAATATAGCGGCCAGTATAATCTTTTTTATCTTATTTTAAATACATTAATGAGAAAATACTTGTAATAATAACGATATTAGTATTTTATAAATATTTTGCGGCTCACCAATGAATTTTGTTATTTTTATTGACCCTTGGTCCTATTAAGTTTGGACAGCCCTGGTCTATATTATTTAAAGATAAATAAATTTCACACTAAGATTTCTTATTTAGTAGAACCACTCCATAAGAATTGCTAATAATATTATAACAATAATTCATATTACAGACTTGTATGCAAAGTTCTTTATAATTTACTAGTAAACCTGGCGAACTCCGTTTCGCCACCAGAAGGCTTTTATTTAACATTTCGTTTGGTTATTAAAAGATGAAGAATTTTTTGTTTTATATTTGAAAAGGAAAATTTTTATTTCATTTCGCAACAGTAATAAATTCATTTCGATTACAAAAATGAAGTGTTATTTAGTTGAACTTCTCTAAGTAAATGAAAGTGAATCCACAGTAGATACCGAATCGAAGCGTTATACGTGTCCGCAAATTATCCGTTTCATTGAAGTGCTCCTTTGTAAACTACATTTTTTGTTTTTTGGTCTAACTTTAACACAAATAAAGCGTATGGTTTCCAAACTCGTGAACACGCAAAATACAACTGCCAATGTCAAAAACAATGATTTTCTAAATTTATCCCGCAAATACTAAATGGTTTTAAAAGTTCAAACTACAAACACATTACCTAAATATTTTTATTTTTATATTGTAGATTTCTTACAAATATCTAATTGTCATCCATACGTCATTACATATCTGTCATTATACGTCAATTGCATAGCTGTCAATTGTGTTATTCCACGTTTTATAGTGACTGACGTTTCATGTCAAGTCCCACGGGAATGCTGTCGAACGGGATAAAATGTATCCTATTGCAATTCCCTGGTTCTAAAATACCTCCCTGCCAATTTTCAGCTAAATCGGTTCAGCCGTTCTTGGGTTATAAGTGGAGTCACTAACACGACTTTCTTTTATATATATAGATTATGCTTCATCGATTTGGAATCCAACTTATAGTATACACAGTCAGCGCATCGAACGAGTCCAGCGAGCGTTTACTCGTTACTTAGCATTTCATTCTCATGAAATATCATTCAGATGCCCGTATGAACAACGTTTAATTCATTTTGGCATGAAGAACTTGCATGCTCGAAGATCAATTCATGATTTGATGATTATGTTTAAAATCGTAAATGGTAACATTGATAGCAGCCATCTACTAGCTCAGCTTACTATTTCGGTACCCAATAAAATTCCTCGTCAACGCATAACAAAAATATTTTTTACCATCCAAGAGTTCGGACAAATCTACGTGCGCATTCTCCTCTTGTTAGGATGTGCAATCTTTACAGTTTACTAAATAAAGAAATAACAGACTTGGACATGTTTCGCGATTCATACTCAACATTCAGACATACCTTGCAAAAATATTTCTAAAATTATAACTTTTCGCTTTCAATTTATGTGTTGTTTTTTTATTAATTAGTGTTGTTTTTTTTCTTTTTTGTAGATATAATTTAATTTAATTAGATTAAGGTGTTGTTGTTAAAACTTTTTTTGACAATGCTGTGAACACCTGTAATAGGTGTAAATATGGAGACTATACTTTTGGCTATATTTTGTGTAAATGTTGCATATGTGTACTGTTGGTGTTCCTAAGTAAATAAATAAATAAATTTGTTTGATCTATATAATATTGTATTATTTTCCAGTGTTGGGAGACCCGCGTCGGTCAGGAGAGTTATCGTCTCATCATACTCGATGCGTTCGTCTCCTTAATATTACTGCCCTTGGTGGAAGTCGCTAGAGGCCTTATGTACAAGTCAGTATAAACATAATTTAGTCTATGAATTTTTCTCTATGGTACTTTAGAGAAGGTAGTGTAGAAACTTAAAATAACCCATACTAACTCTGTCTACATTTAGGATAAGACAATAATAATGGCCAGGTATAAATCTTCACACGAGATTGTATAGAATATTTTTTCTCATAGACCAAACTATGGCTCAAGATCCAAAAATTGTTCAAACATATGAATTTGTTAAATTTTTTGGTCCATAATGTTACTATAATCCATAATCATTGTATAATCTACAATCATATCTTATTTTCACTCATCCTTTATCTATTTATTGATGTAATTGATACTTGAGATCCCTTCTAATATTATAAATGCGAAAGTAACTCTGTCTGTCTGTTACGCTTTCACGCCTAAACCACTGAACTGGTTTTAATGAATTTTGGTATAGATATAGAGTTTTTTTTTTTTTTTTTTTTATGTGAAAGCTGACAAACGAGCAGACGGCCCACTCGATGGAAGGTGGCTACCGTCGCCCATGGACATCCGCAACATCTATGTTGCGGATGCTTTGCCAGCTTTGTTTTTTGGGGATAGGGAGGGGTGGGAATAAGGAAATGAAAGGAAGGGGTAGGAATAGGGAAAGGGCAAAGTTGACCTTGAGAAAGAACATAGGATAGTTTTTATTCCAGTCTTTTGAAAGGTTCTCTTGGAAAGTCGATATAACCGAACTCGACGCTAAGCTAGTACTATACAGGGTGACTGGTGAATTACTATCGATATTTGAGGACGTGATATTTAACGATCATATATGACAAAATAAAAATTAATATAACATAAATATTAATAAACTTCTAAGTAAAGTTAACCAAAAGTTATGTAATTAATTACGCATCGTATGAACACCCTACAGATTAGGTATACACACACACACACACACTCGCGCGCGGCGGCGTGTTGTTGTATCAGCACGCCGCCACACGCGTCCACACTTGGAACACTTGGAACGTGTACACTTTATTTATTTATACGGAAATTTGGTCAAAAATTAAGTACCTATTTTTTTACATAATTCGAATGAGAATCATGTACCGAGTAGGTATGCTCCTTAAATATTGATAGTAATTCACCAGTCACCCTGTATTGATATTTTGCATTATTCCCCATACGTTGTCCAAGCCATTTCCATCTCTCTTAATCTTCTATATCAATATTCCGTGTATATTCCAGATGTAAGCTGACCGCGGCCCCTCAGTTTGACATTTCGTCTAACTCAGTGTCGTTGATGTATAACCAATGTGTGTTATGGTTCGGGCTGGTGTTCAGTCCGCTGCTAGTAGTATCGGTGACTATCAAGTATCTCCTGCTGTTCTACATCAAGAAGGAAACAGCGCTAAGAACGTGTTATACGGGACGGAAGGTATTGTAGTTGACTTGAATAGCTTAGTTTGTCAGTATTAAGGTGCTTCTAATATAAGTTCGGTTAATCTCTGAATCATTTAAATGCTAAAGTTGCTTAATTTAGCTTCAGTCGCTTTTTAAATAGTGATGGTCATAGAGATTGTATAACTAAAAAAAACTAAAAGAGATTACTCAAATTATAAAGAACTAAAAACCATTTTGTATAGTCCGTGTTTGTGTATGTAGATGAATTTGTTTTTTCTTTACTTTGTTTTGTATCTTTATTATTCCAATATGAAAACTATCATATATAAATCCGCTGTCTTAAATAAATAAATTTAATATCTATTAGTACTTTCAATCAGTGGCGGCTGTACCTTAAGTGCACTCGTGCGCTGAACCACCAATTCAAAAGATTTAAAAATTACAAAATATTACTTCATCTTTATTTTTAAATTACCATTTTAATATTTATTTTCTAAACATACAAAAACGTATAAAAACAAAATTTCCAATTATGGTCAAAAAGTTTGAGCGCTTTACTAAACTAATATAGTGCGCTTCGGCGAGTGCACGAGGACTGCTAATACATCTTGTAGGAGATACGCATTAATACGCCTGACGCGTGAAACAAAAGATCGTTCATAGAAATGTACCGAGTAATGAGTCGGTTCTCGAGCCCCGCACGAGCGGCCGAAGATTACCGAGAGCACCCGATGTATGACGAATTGGAATTGAAAAGAATCAAAACTTTTCTCCGAAATACCATGCACTTGCTAAATGCACTTTCTGTGCGTAGTATTGAAAAAAATATTTTTTTTAATTATAATTATACAAACAATATCCGATTTTAATAAAAAGGTGATTGAACATTTTGCTTCAGAAAAATAAACATATTTATTGTCAATTGTTGTGTGGTTGCATTTTCTATTTTTAATATTTTAATAAAGTGCACCACCAGTTTGATAACCCACCAGCCGCCACTGCTTTCAATGGAGCTCTTGTATTATAAGAACGTCCCAATAGATAATCTGCCTAACTTTTTTGTCTGAATATAATCTATGTAAATTAAACTAATATTTCTCATATTACTGCACGTATTTTATTATTTTAAACATTACATACTCCCGACGTTTCGGTTACTTTGTAGCAACTTCGGGAGTATGTAGATATTAAAAATAAAAAATACGCGTAGTATAAGTATCATTTTCATGAATACTCAAAAAAATCTCATTATAGTGTATGTACATAATTATCTTGTATAATCTGTGTCTGTGCATGTCTTTTATATCCTGTGTGTGTGTGCAGATGTTCCGCGCGGCTCAAACCCAGACGGTGCTAGTATCCCTGGTGTCCGTGTCTCTGTTCGGCTCATTATTCTCTCTGGGCTCACTATTCCTGACCCGCGGCTCACACTGCGGTCCACTCGTGAGCTATGAGCCGGTGTCCTCTCTCCTCGGAATAGTACTAGGATTGGATCGATATAGAGTACTTAGAAACATATTGAACTTCGTAACCAGACCTGGATGCATCGCTTTTGTATTGCTGGCGCTGTGGTTAGTAATATCTTATTTATTATTTAATATTGTTTTTCTATATAGTATAGGAATCTCTTTGATAGTATACCTCCAATATGTGACCGATTTGATAACTTCATTCACAAAGTTGATTGAGTTTAAGATGCATTATTGTACCGACTATCATCAAGTTATTAGCTATAATTGGCTATATAGTTATAACTACCATTGGCCAATTAGAAATAAATAAAACATTAAATAATTACCATAAAAGTCGTAAAAAAATATTTCAGCTCAAATTTTTGTCTAATAATAATCTGCTTCCAATGTAGATACGCTGAATTATACAATGGTAGTTACGCGGATTTGCATTATCCCCGACGATATGTAAATATGATATTAATTAGCAACATACATATATATTTAGCTACTAGATATAATTTCTATGAAGTTATTTAACACATACATTAAATCCCAACGTATATTTATTCCGTAGCGCCTGTGTGTATATAATGCGAGCCAAGTCGTTAGCTCGTGCGTCGAGCGCGGAGGTGTTGAGACGACTAAGACGCTTACACGCCAAAGATAAAGAGTTCCTGCTTAAAGCGATACAGAAGGTAGCCGATGGAGGTGAGCGGATGTACAAAATATACATACAGATATATTACGATTAATATTAAACAGGAACATTACAACTACACACACACACACATACACACATATATATGTATATTATAATATAAGACATACAACACATTAATAGATGGCAACTCTGGGTACATAGTATTAATTCATAAAAAGTACATAACATAAAAAAAATATTTTTTTATCTATGGCAAGAAAAATAATGTCAAGTTGACAGACAACTTCAAGTTGAATGAGATCTAAGACTTTCCCGTATATTTATTTCATTGGATTACTAAACGTATTTTATTATTTAAAAAAAAAACATTACACACTCAAAATTTCGGTAACTTTGCAATAACATTGGTCTCGTCTGCCAGTGATCACGGTTACTGTTTATTCGAATATAACCGAAACGTTAGCAGTATGTACATATTTTTTGAAAATAATAAGATACGATACGAAAATAATTAGTTTTTTTCTAGTTGAACATTTTTCTTAAATTGAAATTCGCATACATGTAATTTCTAGTATATATAAGTATATTAATATAATCGTCTTTATATCATCAGAGTGGTTATACAGTCCTAAGTCCGAGTGTGTTGAAGACAGTCACACGTGGAGATATCTACACGAAGTAAGGAAACCTTCCAACGCTGGCTACCACTTCGACGCTTCACGACTAAGTCACTCATTCGCTGAGCGACCAAGATCTTTACACGACAACCGACCCAATTCATATCACACTGAAAGACGAAATTCCAATGACGGAGACACTGATAGGTCATTTAGCTGGCAAGGATCTAGTACCTATCTGAATAAGGAAAAGAATAATTTATAATACACTAGCTGCGCCCCGCGGTGTTACCCGCGGATTTCCGGGATTTGCGAGATTTCCGGGTTGTAAAGTAGCCTATGTGTTATTCCTGGACGTCAGCTTCCTGTATACAAAATTTTATCAAAATCGGTTCAGCCGTTTGAGCGTGAAGAAATAACAAACATACACAAACTTTCACAATTATATTATAATATTAGTAGGATTGTACTTGGAAGTTAGTAATTATTTGTCAAACTGATAATAATGAAGATATTTTGAGCATTATATAGAATAAGGATATAGTAGATATATTTAAATTTCAAAATATTCCTATAATTAATCTTCATAATATATAATTTTTCTTTACCCTTGATCTCCGGCATTATTTGTAATACAGTCAATTAATTTAAGTAACATATCTTATGTATATTTTAATAATTATTTTATATATATTAATTTGTCATTGAAAGCATAATAAATCATGAGCGGTGCTTAGTTGTGATACATCAGAAGTAGATTAAGAGAATTATACTGACATAGGAGTTACAGCAGTTTGGTAGGAAGAGGATTCTGAATGATATATTGAATAGAAGATCATAAATTAAAAAAAATAGTATGTGGAATCCCTCTGAAGTGAAACTTTGTAATGTGGAAATGAAAATAGAAAGGGATAGACAATATTTTGTGAACTCATATTGTTCCTTTATGACAAAGTTTTATATATTTAGAAGAGTAAACCTATTTACTCTCACTCCCCTCCCAAGAGTTGAACATTTAATGCAACCTTGTTGGAGGTTGCATTCGAAGTTTCACTTCAATATAATATTTTTATATAGAGTCATAATATTAAATAAATTCTTGTCTTCCAGACCATTATAAATGTGTGAAAATATTTTTGTATAATGTGTTGTGATCATGTGCCAATAAATAATTTTGATTGTGTTTATATTTTATGTGTTCATCAGATGTGTTTTAATAATGTAAGGAAAGGTTGTATTAGTATGAATCTATTTTTTCCATTACATATAATAAGTCAATTTTAAATAAATGTGCTGTATGTGAAATATTTTATACTTTTATAAAGTCTAGTATAATTTTAAAAACTAATTGTAATTTGTATTTCCTTATTTTTCTCTGTATTTTTTTTACTATTGTTTATTGACTACAATTCATATCAAAATATAATTTCTTTGAATATTTTATCGTTTTTTTTTTTACTTTTTTGGAAAATCAATATTATTGTTGTAAAAGTAAAATAGATCCAATAAGATTAATCAAAGTCCAATAACATTAAATAAAAGGCTCTCACTAACTGATGGATAAAAATAGTGTAAGGTAGAGATTTAATAGTCTTTATAACAAGAGAAGCTTCACTAATTTTATAGCAAAATATGACGCTAAAAGAGGTAATAATTCTGACATATTCTTTTTCCCCCACCCACTAGAAATCTGACCTTTGGACTCCTTTAAAATAAATAATTCTATAAAATCCTGTTAAGTATGTCGCTGTTGTAAATATCTAGACATCGAATCCTTTTTTTTCTTTTGTATAGTTAGTAGCGTTTCCTTATAGATTTCGCCAATGTCGTGTGCCGACATTATACTGAACTATGTAAAGAGGGATTTGTGAATGAGCAAGGTCGCGATTACAGAATATTCCTTTCTTTAAGTCACAATCGAGGTGATATACAAAACAGTACTGTCTGATAACGAACAGTAATGAGTGAAGGTTGATGGTTGTCATGACAACGTATCATTTGGGACGCTGAGTCCCGATGAATTGTGTTTTTTATTACAAATAATATATAATTTGGTGTTTTATTATTAATACTAAGGTATAGTAGACTGATTTTGGAATAAGAACACATTCTTAGGCTGGTATCACAAAATTCATGTGGTAATTATTAAGCGAGTTTTTTTTGAAGAGTCTAAATTTTCTTCTCAAGGTCAATGTTTACTAAGATCATAATACTATGTTGCATGACGGAACATGGATAAGGATCAAATTAATTTTTTACTTTACATAATAGTAGATAGATGTGTGGAAAATTTTATGTTGAAATAATAACTGTTAAAAGAATATACAAAGATATTGGAATTCGTTAAATTTGGAAAAGCTTTTTTAATATCTTGATCACGGTTGCTGCAAAGTGTAAAGTAATGGAAACGTCGGGAGTATGTTGTTTCTATCCAAAATAAAGTCGTGTAGTATATCCGCAAAATATTAGTTTCAGCTTTTTTAATAACTGAGAGTATTACATTATCTCTTTGATATCAATTTTAGCATAAGTGGTGGTATATATATTAAGCAAACTATAAAAATAATCACATTCAAATCTAAATTAAGATAAAGTTTAGATTAATATAAAGAAATATATTCAGTTATGTCTACGAGAGGTCGTAAGCGCCCGCCTCCCAGTGGAACAGCTTGTCCATCTCGATTTGTTCAAAATGCGGCGAAACAACCTCAGCTGCCAACACTGACTCGAGCTGGTTACAATCATGAGCTGGACAGAGACAGTCAGTTGCTGCGAGCTGCTAGGAATTATTATCCAGAAGGTTATGATGCTTTGTGACAAGAGAGATTATTTTGCACACAATGTATTCTATTGCAGAATTATTTAGTGATGAATTTAGATGAAAGGTTTCAATTTTATTACTATTTATAATGTGCAAAAGAATTCAGTCCAATTTGTAAAGTCTTAAAATAATACCCAATAGCAGGTTTTTAGTGAAAAAAAAAACACTGTGGGAAGTATCTTTGTAGTTTTTTATACAATATATTCCGAATTTTGCTCGTTCAATTAAACAGGTGAATTAAACAGGTGTGTTCGATACACATACTATTCCTTCCATTTGATATATGTTGGTCTACTCATTTGACATTAATCGTAATGTTTTTGTGTAAATAAAAAAAGCATAAATAACAAACATTATGTTCAATAGCCCATTAATACATTTTTTAGGTGAAGGTGACGGCGGCTGTAGTGAGTTTCCTCCATTAATGATGAAGAAATCATGGACAAGAGGGGTTCCGTATCGAGACAGCTTTGACCACGCAAAACCTGTAGACTCAATAGGTGGAAAGATTTATACAAATTATTAGTACAAATTATAAAAAACGAATATATGAATTTTGTATTTTATTTATTATTATCATAGGAAATTGCTACACTCGAGCTTCAAAGACCATGAGAACAATAAATATGCCCCCCAAAAGACGAGTTCCTCCACAATTGTACGGGCCACTAGGTCCTAATGGAGAAACGCAATTCCCTCCTTTGAAGCCTTGGGCTGAGAGGGAAAAGGAACGGTTGGAGGCTCTAAAAAAGGAAAAAGACAAACACAAGCTGCAGAAAGGCATGTATATAATATGACGTATATCTCAAAAGCTATTCGTAAAACTTAGATTTAATATGTAAGAATGTAACAATATTTAATTTATGTTGTTTTAGGATTAGTTCTATTAGAAGATTTGGTATCTGGGGCATATGAAAAGAGAAAAGCAGCAGAAGCCGAGGCTAAGAAAAGAAGAATCGAGAAAAAAAGAAAAGGGAAAGCTGAAGCCGAATTAGCTGCACAGGAAGCTTTGAAAAAGTATCGAAAATTATTTTTATTATATCGTTTGTAACTAAGAAATTTGTGGCACATTTCATTGTGTTAACCAAATTATTTTCAGGCATTTGGCACGTTTAGAGTTTGAATTACCTCGGGACCCAGACCAGCAGAAATTAGAGATGATAAAAGTGACTGAGGAGGAACATTATCGCTATATACATCCGAAAGACTTGGAAAGAATACAATACTACCTAACAACGGTAAAGATCTTAATCAAGGTTCTTCAATTGTTATCTTCAAACATATTGTGAGAATTGTATTTTCCTCCTTGTTTTCAGTCTCTTACCAATGAGCATCTACCAGAATATCCAATGCATCTTTATAAACGAGCAAAAGCAGTAGTGGACAAACAGACCGCATCTATTAAGAAGCGTCTAATGGTACTCACATATCAAATGTGCGTCAAGCAGAGTGAAGCGGACATTCAAGAGTTCTTCCTTATGGCTATGAAAAGGTTAGAGAAATCTTAAATATGAATTGGTTAAACTATTTAATATACATGTATTATATTTGTAATGAAGTCAAGATTTATGAATGATTTGTCTCAGATGTCTTCTGTCCTACGTATTGTCTGATCCAGAGGAGTGTGTTCGTCTTCAAATAGCGTTTCTGCCGCCGCTGTGGCCGGCGTTAGTTGTTCGAGCTCCAATGCCTTGGCACAATGACGTCACGCGTGCAAAACACTCGCTCTCTTATAGATATTGCCACGGTAATCCAATACTGCTTGAGCTCAGGCGGATCTGGCAGGAGAGGTGAGGATTTAATTAACGTCTATGGAGTATTTGAAAATAATGTTATGCTTAATTACGATGATGTTAATACTTTCATTACTTTTCTTTGTAGCAATTCAATATAATAGTTTCAAATTTAGTTTTTTATGTTTAATGAGGTAGCGAAAGATATAAGATATTAAAATAATTAACATCGCAGATACCAAAATATATTCATATGCGACATGGACAAGATGCAACAGGACCAACCATTTCCGCAGTACCCTTCTGATTTTACCGAACGCCTCAATAAACTGTGTGCTGAAACACGAGCAGAGCTCATGGATAACTGGCTCATCGACGTGGCAGATACGATGATTAAAATGAGAAAACATTGGTCCGTGTATGTCTCTAAGAAGAAACAGGCGTCAACTTTTCAAGTGGAGAAATTCTTCAGGTTGTTGAAAAATATATTTACGATATAAATATTATATAAAAATTTAAAAGTTATATTTTAAAGTCTTAAAAACATGGTTAAGGAAGGTTTATTTAAACTATACATACTTCTAATCCTTACCATATTGTCAATGTTGTTTAATCAGCAAAATGAAGTTTTTTGAGGGTAGTAAGATTTCATTTTTATTTTTGCAGTTGTATACATGCTCTGATGTCAAGACAAGTTAGAGATTTAGTAGAAAGAAGCGTGTACCATTTTGCGAAATATTTCGAAGAATATTGGGTAAGAGTTTGTATAATCATTGATAGCAATAAATAATTTCTTATTTAACGAAAAAGTATGATTTAGAGAGAATGTTACATTTGTGCTATAATTTCTGCAGTATTATCCTTAACTTTACATACAGGAGGGTAACAATTACACCGGCGAGTACCGGGACTACATGTTCATTAAGAGACCTCTGCTTCGTATCAAAGTGACAGCTCAGCCCGGTTCCACAAATCTGGTCTTCGAGCCGCCCTTGGATCAGATGCGCGTGCTCATACTCCGCTGGTTTCACTCTATCATCAACGTCAACTTTCAACTCCCCAGCGTTGACACCATCATGTATCCTGGTTCGTCATGGATTGTTATATCCAATCATTTGTTTTATGTTATAGCTAAGAATCGGAAACCTAACTTTTGGAAAGTGTTATCTTTTTGAATAGACGTTTCCAGCTTATAGTGTTTGTAACAAATTCAGATAGTAGGTAGATAAATAATGTTTGTGACAGTTGTCAGTCTACGTTGAAGCAGTAGTGTGTGCCACAAGTACATTGTTTTATTTCATTATTACTCATAAATATAACACAGCTATAGTAAAATTATAGGTGTCTTTTGTGTAGCTATCTTTGAACTCTGTATTTTTATGTCTATACTTTTCCAGAAATATTAATTACAATCTGTTATTTAATAAACTTTTTATTTAGATATAATTATAAAAGATATATATTTTTTATTTTCTTACTTATTATAGGTTCTCAAAGGCCAAATCCTTATTTAATGGCTGTATATCCCGATGAGGAGTACATGACAGAAATAATGAATAGGTGTACAAGACACTTTCATGTTAATCGTATGGGACCCGTTAATTTTATAAATAGATACCAAGAATATTTCTACATCCTGGATGGGACTGCATATCAGGATCTTCTAAGCTTTTTTGCTTTGGAACCGCCACCTTATCTAAAAGTAATTGTGATCTTGTTATTCCACACTTATCTTATAATACTATCAGGTTAATGATCATTTTAATATAATTCCAGGATTTCTCGGCGCGTATCTACATGTACGAGGATCTTCGTGATGAGATTGCCTTCCTCCGGAGAGATATTCCCCTCAACATGGTGATGCTGGACTGCGCCCCCGTCAACGACGTACTGTGGCGGGTCGTAGATGGATTACGCTCATACATTGTTGATCATTTTATTATGGTTAACAGGAAGTGGAATAGACAGTAAGTATCTCGTACAAATTTAATAAGTAGGAAAGATTTAAGGACTTTCTAAAATATGTACTATCTCTAATTTTTCTTTAAGTACCGTCAAGTTAAAGTTAGTTATGCTATAGATATACACATCCCTTCTAAGTAACTCTTAAAATATACGACAAAGTGGTTTGGTTTACTCCTGATGTTCTATTCTTTAATATGACCTTTGCTACCTTTGCCGAGTTCTTCCTATAAGTTTCCGTCTTTCAGAATTTGCAATGTTTACGAGGAGATGGCGGCGCGCACGTCTGAAAGTCCGGAGAGTACTGCTCAGTTGGTGGAACTACTCGGATATATACTTACTTGCCGCGACTGCGCACTGTTCGACCTCAGGGAACAAGCGCGGACCACGGCCGAACATGTACTGTTCTTGATGCAGCACGCACATCTAACATGTACGACATAATATATCTTGTATATTAAGGATCACTTATTTAAGTTCTTTGCATATGTAAATGAGACTAAGATTTTGTTTCTTATATTACCAAACTTTCTTAAAATTAATTTATCCTAAACTGCCTTTATCTTGGTTACTATTGCAAAAAAAGTATGGATCTTTATAATTACGGACCCAAAATATTTTTCTTTATAGTCGAAGACGTTAACCTCAATACCCGAGTGTTCCTCTGGCCTTTGGACATGGAAGAGACCATAGAACTAACACTTAAAACACTCAACACTAAGAAGACAATGGCTGAAGATAAACTGAGAACAAGGAAAGCAATCTTTGAGGAGAAACTGAAGAAACACGAGAAGGAATTGGAATTGTTCCGACGATTTGACCCACCGCTACTTAATTTGGATCTGTTAAAAGAAGTTGTCTCGAAAGTGGACGAGATTAACAAAAACCTTATGGTATTTTGAATTCTAACTTACTGTAACTCTTATTAAAATATGTAATTGAAATATTAACATATGATATATATTTTATAAGAATGACAAACGTGAAGCAGATGAGATAATAAACGAGGAGACCTTGTTGGAGCAGGAACCGTCCGTATATTTCAGTCTACAGGCGATGTTGGCCGGCATCGAGCCCTTTCACAAACTGTGGCACACTGCATTTGATTTCTATGACGGTTATGAGAAATGGTAATGATTTTATAATTTTTATCAATTAGTTAGTTCTTGACCAGTTAAACTTACCATATTAGCTACTGTACATATAAAGTATATCTGATTCTCCTTACTAGGGAAACCGTTTGCAAAAAAAAATAATTAAATAACAAAGAATTTCGCTTTTTGCTAATCAAAGGCTGAAAACATGATTTGATTAATTTAACGCTATTCTAAAGCAAACCTTCTTCCCATTGATTACTTTTTATTGATAACTGAATGTTAATTTCAGGTATCATGGACCGTTTCTTGGTCTGGACGCTGAGCAGATCGCTGAGGATGTGGAGGCCTGGTGGAAGTTGCTGTACAAGCTTGGTCGTCAGCTGTTCGAGTATCCTGGAGCTAAGCGTATAGCTGACATGGTCCGCAATAAGCTGGATAAATTTAAAGTGCTGTTGCCTGTATTGTGTGCCATATGTAACCAGGTGATTTATTTTTAGTTATTATTGTCGTCAATTATGAAGAATATTTGTAACGAAAAGTACACATCGTGTCTGTCTACTTAAATTTATTTGAAGATTGATAGCGTCAATTCGTCATCGATGAACTTCTACTTAATAACCTTTCGTATAGACAATAATGTAATAGATCTGATACAGCAATAGGTTGCAAACATTAAAACAAGATATAATGTAGGGTATGCGCGACCGTCATTGGGCTCGTATCAGCGAGCTGGTCGGTGCGGAGGTTATTCACGAGCCTGAGACTACGTTAGCTGATATGGTCGAGCAAGGAGTGCATGTGTTCGCCACACAGCTTGAGGAGATCGAACAGTACGCCTCCAAGGAGTACACGCTGGAGAAGGCCTTACTGAAGATGAAGGACGAATGGGTCGGGGTCAAGTTCGAGATCGTGCCGTACAGGTTGGTTTTAGAAATGTCGCAATAATAGCAACCAATAATATTTTGTGGCTACCAGAGGCTCCAGGAAAATTATGAATCTTACTTATAAGAGTTACATATTAAAATCTATACCTAAGACTACATGATTGTTCCGATGTTAGGATAGCAATCCCATACCATAGCTTGTGTGGTATGTGGAATCTTCTGGTTCTTACGGTTTGGTGTTCGTTCCGCGGAGTCAGCAGCGTCAATCGTTACTTGATATTTTATCCATTCAACGATTTTGCTCCGGCGATTTCTATTTATTTTTTGATATGAAGCGCGTACGTAACAGCCTAGACCGGGCTCTCTATTTAATAGCTTTATTTATATATTACTTTAGATAAAACCTTAAATTATGCTTTCTAATAGTCACTAAAATCTTTTTATTTTTTTTTATTTTTAGAGATACGGGTGTTGGTATTCTCACTGGGCTTGATGAAATTCAACAGCAATTGGACGACCACATTCTCAAGTCTCAGACTATGCGTGGTTCTCCTTATGTAAAGGCTTTCGAAACTGAAATGGTTGCCTGGGAAGAAAAACTTATCTCTATGCAAGATATCCTCGACCAGTGGCTTCAGGTAAAGTTTTGGCTATTTTGACAGAAATACCTTTTTTTATATTTTGTTTATTTATTTTTATTTATGTATTAGGATCGCCAACTATATAACAACAGTAATATATAATAACTAAAATAGTAATTGAATGCACAAAGTAATTGTAAATCTTTTTTAGAACATCACAACCTTTTTTCACAGAAATCTGATTATCGAATTTTGTTTCTTTTAAATATATTATATATAAACATATTATGATCTTCTCTGTTGAAATATGAGTAAATTTATTTCATGGCATAAATTTTAGAAAATAAACATCGTACTAAATATATTCCTTTTGCATTCTAGTGCCAAGCAACGTGGATGTATTTGGAGCCGATCTTCTCCTCTGAAGACATAATGCGACAGATGCCAACTGAAGCACGTAACTTCAGAGACGTTGATAAGGAGTGGCGTACCATAATGTCTGCTACTGGCAAGGAGCCCATGGTGCTCCCTGCTACTGACTACCCTGGTCTACTTAAGAAGTTGAGGTTCAATAACGCTCTTCTAGACGATATCCAACGTGGATTGAATGATTATTTGGAAAAGAAGAGACTTTTCTTCCCAAGGTTTGTAAACAAAAAGAAATATATATTTTCTTGAGATAGTATCAAAAAATAATTAAATTTTTTAAGTATAGATTCTTCTTCCTATCCAACGACGAACTCCTGGAAATATTATCGGAAACAAAGGATCCCATGCGGGTTCAACCTCACCTCAAGAAGTGTTTCGAGGGTATATACACGTTAGAGTTCAACGCGGCTAAAGAGATTGTCGGCATGGCATCTTCTGAAGGAGAGGTTGTAGGTCTATCGTCATCTATACAACCAGCGGATGCGAAGGTTAGAATACTTTTGAGATATTTAAATATAGTAAAAAGTATATGTTTTTATTTAAATAATCACAAATATTTAGGGAATGGTGGAACGCTGGCTGCAACAACTTGAACAGCAGATGATGATTAGTCTTCGTGACGTGGCCGCCGAGGCAATAACAGCATACACTGTCACTAAGAGGGAGGAATGGGTTCTCAACTGGCCCGGGCAGATCGTACAGGCGGGCTCGTGCGTTCATTACACCAGCGAGGCTATCGAGGCCATTGAGACGAATACTTTACCTGACCTGATAGACCGCAGTACGGAACAAATCAATGGGCTGGTGTATGTTGTTCAAGGTGATTTGGAACCAGGACATCGGATAACAGTGGAAGCATTGATCGTCATCGATGTGCATGGTAACTGCAATATTCTGAATTCTTAATTAGATCTAAGATTTTCACGGGTTTTATTCATTTAATAGAAACTAATATTTTTAGGATTATATTACGCGACCTTATTTTTGTATAAAACTATACTAGGTGATAAATAACAAGACCAACTGAGAGACATGTTTCGTCTCCCCGTGAACATGGTTTCTGTAAAGTAGTCGAAACGTCGCGAGTATGTATTTTTTTTACAAAAATAAAATCGCGTAGTATAATCCGACAAATATTAGTTTCATTCTGAATTCTTGTGTTAAGTATTAGAAATGATTTTCTAAAATATTGTTGATTTTAAGGTCGTTCAATCCTCGAGGAAATGGAGCTAAAAAAAGTCCGGGATATAACGGACTTTAACTGGATTTCTCAGCTGCGATACAGTTGGAGAGGTGACCGCATCACTTGCTCCATGATAACTACGGATGTGGAATACGGCTTCGAGTACCTCGGGAACATCGGCAGACTTGTAGCGACCCCGCTAACGGACAGGTGCTATAGGTAATAAAAATATATTTACTAGGAAAGTATTTGGGTTATATTTATGTAAATAATTTAAAATTTTAAAAGCCCAGTACTAAAATACATATATCTGAGAGAGGATGCTGTGACATCATTAAGCCTAAAATTCTAGATGTAATATGACCTCCTCAATTTCTAAGTCCTTGATATTTATTTACAAGAAAATTATTATTTTTATTGCTGAGTGAAATTTATCACATGAAAGGTTTAAGGTTGTACGGAATAGGTAATTAATCGTATGTTTGAGATAGATAATTATTATAAAACGCATTTCTCACCAGGACTTTAATGTCAGCGTTGAAGCTGAATTTAGGCGGCGCTCCCGAGGGTCCGGCTGGAACAGGGAAGACGGAGACAACAAAGGACTTAGCTAAGGCTGTGGCCAAGAAGTGCGTTGTGTTTAACTGCTCAGATGGACTAGACTATAAGGCGCTGGGTAAATTCTTTAAGGTAGGTCATGAGGTATAAATATTTTTTAATATGCACTATATACGAAGCAGGGAGTAAAGAGGGATGCACGTGCGCGTTTTGTAATGTACTATATACGAGTAATTGAAGTATGTCACTAAACATACCTCGCTTCAGTTTTTTACCCGCACATGAGAAACTTAGTTACGTTTTTTCCTTATAAAATTACCTGCATTATAATATCAAGTTAAAGATTGAATAAAAATGTTTATATACTTATCGAATTAGGTACACATTTTGCGGCTATTATATTCGTTTAATAAAACCATCTTTTTGAAATGTATTCCAGGGCTTAGCACAATCTGGTGCTTGGGCATGCTTCGACGAGTTCAATCGTATCGAGCTCGAGGTGCTGTCGGTGGTCGCTCAACAAATCCTCTCCATCCAACTCGCTATACTGAGGCGTGAAAAGCGATTCATATTTGAAGGAACAGAGATCAGTTTGAATCCAACTTGTTCCGTTTTCATAACCATGAATCCTGGGTGAGATTTTTGGCGCTGATAAGTAAGATTTTACAGATTTTAATTTAAACTTGTAAAGTTTAACTATTATTTGGCCATTGCAGTTATGCCGGTCGTACGGAGTTACCAGATAATCTGAAGGTGTTGTTCCGTACGGTGGCCATGATGGTGCCCGACTACGCCATGATCGGAGAGATAACTCTTTATTCAAATGGATTCGTCAACGCTGGACCGTAAGATATTTTTCATCTATTTTAGTATACTCAATTGATTTTATAACGTTATAACAGTATGGAAGCCAATCGCAGTTCTTTAGGAGTTTAATGCTGCTGCTCAGTTTTAAATTTAAACAATCAATAACCTTTGCGATAATTTCATATATGGTTTTAAAAGAAACAATTCTTTGATTAAATTGCTTGTGTTCAAAATATTAACAATATGAAATTCTGTCGGTGATGTTACAGTTGCAGTTACTTTCTGTATAGTCTAGATTCTAGAACGTACACTCAGTAGTCTCTCTAATATATCGTTGATAACAGTTTAGCTCGCAAGATAGTTCAAGCTTACAAGCTATGTTCGGAGCAGTTGTCCTCTCAGAACCACTACGACTATGGTATGCGTGCTGTGAAGTCCGTGTTAGTGGCGGCTGGCGCGCTGAGGAAGGCTCTCCCCAATGTGGATGAGGCCCAGCTAGTACTGAGAGCCATTGTAGACGTCAACATGCCCAAGTTTCTGTCTCAGGTGATCAACAATATATGAAAGTTATTTATGTTAGTAATACAAAATTACAAACAGTATCTGTAATTGTATCAAACGAATAAAGTAGGATATATGAAACAAAAAAACAAGGAACATAATAATTGACTTGTGAATTTAACGTAATTGAAGCTACAAGTGAAAACTACATAGTAAAATAAACTTTGGTTTAGTCTGAGTCAAGTATCAATTATCAATTTATTTATTTTTATCCAGGATGTACCTTTATTCGCTGGTATCTATTCCGATCTGTTTCCGGGAGTGGACATCTTGCAGCCAGATCGCTCAGAGCTACTTCATTGCATTAACAAAGAACTGGAAAAACGAAATCTGCAACCAACAGATTGGTATCTCGAGAAGATCATACAAGTACTTTTTCCTTTTATGTAATTTGTTTAGTTGTAATATTTGAAATAGTGGTTATTGAATATCGTCTACTATTTTAGATTTACGAAATGATGCTGGTTCGACATGGGTTTATGATAGTCGGTCCTCCTATGGGCGGAAAGACCCAAGCGTACCAGTCACTAGCGGAATCATTACGAGCGCTGCAACTAATGAGACCTCCGCCAAAACATAAGGAGTTTGGAGCGATATATAGAATTATCAACCCTAAAGCGATTACTATGGGACAGCTATACGGATGTTTCGATCCAGCTTCCCATGAGTGGTGAGTTTTGAGTTTTTTTTGAGTGAGATTTATTCGATTCTTACCAAATAAGTAGTTATGTAATTAATATTTTTACATTCAACGTCTGTGGACTAAATAAATGTTTATTTTGTTTGGACTTCTTTAATAAACAATGTAAATATGTAATATTTTTATGATTTTTTCCATACATTTGATAATATATTGTGGCAAAAACTTATGTACATTAAATGTGTTATTTTTAGGTCAGATGGAGTATTAGCTATAGCGTTCCGTGAGTACGCTATGTCCGCGTCTCGTGATCGTAAATGGATTCTGTTCGATGGTCCCGTGGACGCGGTGTGGATAGAGAACATGAACACGGTGCTTGACGATAATAAGAAGCTGTGTCTTATGAGCGGGGAGATAATACAGGTAAAGAGATCTAAGATTTTCGCGAGTATTCATTTTAAAAAAAAACTAATATTTTTCGGATTCCTGTGCATATTTTATCATTTTAAAAACTACATGCTCATTTCATCACGGTTGCTGCAAAGTAACCGAAACGTCGAGAGTATGTAGTTTTCAAAATAATAAAATACGCGTAGTAAACCGAAAAATATTAGTTTCATAGGTAACTTTATAATAATCTAAGGCCCTCTCTCTGCAACATCGATAAAGTTTTGATATTATAATAAAATGATAAATATATTTAAGGTCCTTTTAAGTGTTACTGCTTATTAGATTGAGATAAAATCTCTTGAAATTACGTAATAGATGACAAACAAGATGAATTTGATCTTCGAGCCGGCTGACCTGGAGTTTGCCTCGCCTGCCACGGTCTCTCGCTGTGGTATGATTTACATGGAGCCTGAACAATTAGGTAATGAAGAAGAAACTTCATCATAGGTTTATATGACTGTAATGAGAACGTACTCAAAAAGCATTACCAGGTAATTAACTTCAAAAGAATCGAAAGATAAGCCAAAAAAGATATCCTCTACCCTATATTATTTGATGGGTCTGACATCCGCACGTTGTATCTATTGATTGCTAAGAAATTTCGTTTCTTTCTATAGCTTATTGAAAATTTTCATATATAATGTTATGTTAAGGTTGGCGTGCTTTTCTAACTTCATACAACACGCACCTCTGTAAGAAGCTGATTCCGGAGCAATACGACCTAATCCAGGAACTCATTGACTGGCTCGTGCCGCCAATTTTCCTGTTTCTACTTCGATGCCGGCATTTCGTTCAAGTGGGGGAGATACATCAGTTTTTTGTACGTATAATACAAAACCTTCATATTTAAAACTGACCGTATATTTATTATAAAATAACAATTTTAACTTGTTCTATTTGATCTACTTATATTAGATCCTTACTTAGCATCCATGTTGTGAATAATAGTTATCAAATACTTATTTGTTTGTAAATTTTTCTGTTTTCTTTTGGTCAGTCATTCACTCGTCTCTTCTCGTGTTTGTTGGAGGGCGAATCTCAGGTGAGCACTTTGTGGCTTCAGTGCACATTCGTGTTCGCATTACTTTGGGGGTTATGCGCTACCATCACTGGTAATTAAATGATTCTTTTGAACCATTAATTATAAAAATTGTTTGTATGTTTTTTAAATCGTCTTTTTTACCTTAAAGGTGAAAGCCGAAAAGCTTTCGACTCTTTCTTTCGAAAGCTACTAGAAGGGAGCAACGCAAATTATCCGAAACCAAAATCATTCAAGCTGACGAAGAACCAGCTTTTCCAGGATAAGGATACGGTATTTGATTATGTTTATGATAAGCGAAACAATGGAACTTGGATATCGTGGGCTGAACTTGAGAAAGAAGTTCCCCTTGCTGCTAATGCTAAGGTATTTAACATATATATCTGTTATTAACAGTGGCGGCTGTACCTTAAGTGCGCCCGTGCGCTGAACCACCAATTCAAAATATTTAAAAATTACAAAATATTATGTCATCTTAATTTTTAAATTACCATTTTAATATTTATTTTTTAAACATACAAAAAGGTATAAAAAATTTAATTTCCAATTATGGTCAAAAAGTTTGAGCGCTTTACTAAACTCATATCGTTCGCTCCGGCGAGTGCACGAGGACTGCTAATACATCTTGTATGAGACACGCATTAATACGCGTGGCGCGTGAGACAAAAGATAGTTCATAGAAATGTACCGAATAATGAGTCGGTTCTCGCGCGCCGCACGAAGCGGCCGAAGGTCACCGAGAGCACCCGATGTGTGACGTATTGAGCCGGCCGGCAAGGGGCCGGCCGAAAGGATGGGTGCTATGATTGACATCTCGTTAATCGTTATTGGTATTGTTTCAACTTTCACTGTATGCGTGACGCGTTAATTCGTTATTGTTTATAATTATTTCCGTAATTCGTTTTAGTTTTTATTTCGTTTCTATAATAGAACTTTTATTCTGTACTGTGTTTTTTATTAGTTGAAAATGAGTATAAATATTGATTATATTAAAGAAAATAACAAAATTTTTCAAAGTAAAGTGAACATAAAATTGGCCGGGCCGCCACGGCCCTTTTTAAATTTAAAACAAGAGTGTAAATCGAAAAATAAAGCATTTATACGAAGTTTTAAAAGTGAAATGTATAATAGAAAGAAATGGTTGTGTGGATGTGAGCGTCTTAATACATTCTTTTGTTTTCCTTGCATTATTTTTGGCGGAGAATCGATTTGGACAGTAACTGGAATCAGATTTTAATAAAAAGGTGATAGAACATTTCGCTACAGAAAAATGTCGTCGCATTGATTTAATGTACAAAAAATAAACATATTTTATGTCAATTGTTGTTTTTGTCAATATTTTAGTAAAGTGAACCACCAGTTCGATAACCCACCAGCCGCCACTGGTTATTAATTTATGATGATTTGTCTTCTTTTGAGTCCATTTTGTTTATTATATACATATTATTGTAGGTTAACGATTTAATTATTTTGACAAACGAAAACGCATGTCTGCGTTTCTTTGTTACTAAAATGGTGAAGACTAAGATACCAATACTAATTGTTGGTCCAACCGGCACGGGGAAGTCTTCACTGATTCTTAATTTCTTACTAACTCTGCCGAAGGAGAAGTATATAACGAATACTATTAATTTCTCCGCCAGAACTACTGCCAATCAGGTATAAATGTTTTAAAAAAATAAATAGTTTAAGCAAATGCAGTGCGATTTATGAATTTCATGCATGAAATCCAGACTCAAGACGTGATTATGTCAAAAGTGGATAGACGTAGAAAAGGTGTTTTCGGTCCTTCTATGGGAAAAAAGGTACATATATTTTTGTTATTTAATATTTGTTTCAAAATTTTTAAGGCAGTAGTGGCAAAATTAAGGTTGTCAAATTTATAAAGACAAACTGTAAAACAAATTTTAAGTTACAGTTCTAATATTATAGATCGCTAAATAAAATTAAATAGTTGTTAATTTTTTTTGAACTTTTCTATTATTTTTAATGATTTTAACATCATTTTTAAATGGTTATAAAGTAATGAGAAAAATTTATACAGAAATAATTAAAGATATTTTCTTTTGAAATCACCAGAATAAAAGTAATGTTATTTATATCCAATTAATTCGATACTGTTGTATATGATATACAGTGCGTGTTGTTTGTGGACGACCTGAGTATGCCCCAGAAAGAGCAGTGGGGGGCGCAGCCGCCCTTGGAGTTGTTAAGACAGTGGCTGGACCACGGCCACTGGTACGACCTCAAGGATATGGTGCGACAAGAGGTCGTCGATGTGGTGAGATTGATAACTTTGATTGTTCTGTGAGGACTAACAGTAGAGTATTTTAAACACAAAAATATCTGCTTAGGAACTCTTATAAGAATTCTCTTCTCTAGTCTGTTTCCCTATTTTACAGTAAAGAAAAGGGTATTTAAAAGTTTATCATAACCCCATAACCCATATATCCCCCGTATGCATCATACTTACAGTGTCAAGTCAATAAAAACTGTGTTACAGATTTTCTATTTTTATGAAAATAAATGTTGTTTACAAAGTAAGTAAACAAAATTAAGTAAATTGAGAGTTTCTAGTGAGGTAAACTCAAGTGTGGTTAATTATTCATTTCATATTTTATTAATCAAATAATAAATTTGTCATCTGAGGTTTCTTATATGTCGTAACATTGTTGTTGTTTTAAAATGAAATTACTTAGTATGACATATTTTTAGCTTTTTGTATCAGCGATGTTGCCGCCCGGAGGAGGTTCTAATCTGATCTCCTCGCGTTTGACGCGTCACATGTTGTTAATTGGACTAGATTCATTCGAAGACAACACCCTCAACAAAATATTTGTTACAATCATGGACTGGCACTTCGCTAAGGGCTTCACGGAAAGTTTGGCCAGGCAAAGTAAGGTAATTAATAAATGTCGAAATTGTCTCATCACACATCAACTCAAGTATGGGTAATTTAATTAATATTTTTTTGTTATATTTTAATTTTCTCCATATTAGGCAGTTGTGAGCGCCACAATGGAAGTATACAAGGCCGTCACTCTGCAATTTTTACCAACACCCAGTAAATGCCATTACCTGTTTAATTTGCGTGATTTTGCGAGGGTTGTGCGTGGTGTCCTTCTAGTTCCATCATCACGACTGAAGGATCTATCTAAACTTGTGATTCTCTGGGTACATGAGACTTACCGGGTGTTCTATGATCGCTTAGTGGACGATGTTGACAGGTAAATGGATAAAATGATTTCTGAAAATAAGTTATTACGTTTGAATGCTTTTAATACCGAACTTTTCTTAGTTTAATTTTATGGGATTGGTATTGGTTGTCATTATATGTACTCATTCAAAAAAGTTAAGGATGTAGCTTAACATTAAAATATATAAAGAAATATATAAAAAAGTAGTATCTTTATAATGTTCACATACAATGCAAGTCAGAAAGTTTTCACTGTATTATTAAAATACTTTATAGTCAGCCTACTCTATGCATCATCCTTAAAATGATGCTAATGCTAATAAAATGCAAAATTCAAAAGAGTTATCACTTAAATATATTTCCCTTTTTTGAATATACATATATATTTTTTTCCAGACTGAAGCTCTTTGACGTGGTTTACAAGGCGGTATACGCCAACTACCGCGTTCACCTGGACCAGGTTCTCACGGAACTGGGTTATGTGCCTGAAGGAGAGAAATGCTCTAACAATCACGCTGCTAACATCTTCTTCGGGAACTATATGGAACCAGACGCGGATCCGAAAATCTATGACCAGGTATTTAATACTGAAAAGGAGTTTAAAGTTTCCCCTAGTTTGGAGTGTAAATATTTGGGAGACATTTGATGAGTTCTAGTTGTTGTTGCTTATGATTTTGTATGAAGATAATTTAAGAAAGTCGCACTTTGTTTGACAACAAGGTAAAACATACATTTTATCTAAAACAATTCTCGTTTCTTTCGTAGGTGTTGGATCTAGAAGATATGGCAGTAAAAATGGAGTATTACCTGGATGAATATAACGTGGTGTCATCATCTCCTATGGCCTTGGTGATGTTCCGATACGCGCTTGATCACATATCACGCTGTACACGCGTGTTGTTGCAGGATAATGGTATAATAGTATATTCAATTTAATAAAGGTGTATACTCTTAAAAGTTAAATCCTACTAAATTGTATTTGTGTTTCGTTTTAGGAAACCTTTTACTTGTTGGAGTTGGCGGTAGCGGCAGAAGTAGTGCTGTCAAACTTGCTGCTAGCATCTTGGAGATGAATGTCATTCAGGTATAATAAGATTTCCTTTACAAAGAGTTCTCTTACCATATTATATTAAAATATTAATAATCAAGATCATATTATAATCAAGATTGGATATAAATATGTATTGGTTAAAATTTTAGATAGAGATATCAAGGGTTTACGGGCAAAACGAGTGGCGTGATGACATACGGAAGATGCTGATGAAGGCCGGTATCATCGGGAAACCTCTCGTATTTTTGTTTGCTGATAACCAAGTGAGATAACCTTTGATGTTTAATTTCTTGGTGATACGTGGTAATATTCTATATTATAAAAGCGTTTGTTTTGTAGATCATGTATGAGGGCATGGTGGAAGATATAAACATGCTTCTAAATACTGGTGACATTCCTAACTTATATGGGATGGATGAGAAGGTCGAGATACTAGATAAAATGCAAGCTGTCGTGAGGGAATCTGTATGTATATCAATAATTGTTTTTCTCTATTAGTAGATGGTTATTAAGTAGTTTTGATACTACGAAGGGATATATATAGTCATATACTATATAGGGTTATATTATTTTGAGCTTATAGAAATAAAATTTTAGGGCAAAAAAATAGAAACTACACCCTTGGCGATGTTTGGTCTGTATGTAGAACGTGTGAAAGCTTCTCTACGTATTGTGCTGGCTCTGTCACCTATTGGAGACTCTTTTCGAAATAGATTGAGAATGTTCCCCTCACTTATAAACTGCTGTACAATTGACTGGTAAGTGATATGAAAGAAACGTTGCAAAGCGTTATATCTAAGTTAATCATAATGCCTGAAGTCGTCTTAAATGAGAGATTACAGTTTGGAACTTTCGCGTATTAATATGGTCCACTAGTAGAAAATCTAAGTACTTTGCTAGGTTCACAGCTTGGCCACCGGAAGCACTGGAGCGTGTGGCATCCATGTTCATCGCTCGTATGGAAAACGTAAGCGCCGAGTTGCAGGAGGCGTGCGTCACGATTTGCCAACTATTTCATATGAGTGTTGTTGCGCTCAGCGACAGGTAAAGGACATATATCCAACTAAACGTAAATTTAAAAAAATCAAATATAAACTGTCACGATATGCAAAATAAATTAATGTTTTTATTTTGCATTCAGATTTTTTACCGAGCAAAACCGAAAGGTTTATGTGACACCTACGAGTTACTTGGAGCTAATAAAAGCATTTCAAAATCTCTATGCGCTTAAAGTTGATCAGATAACGAGATCCAGATTGAGGTACTTGGTATTCTTGTTACAGTACATGCCATTACTAGAAAATAATGTTTAGTTAAAATTCTCTATTTTACGTTCAACATTGAATACATTTTCTAATCCTCTATCAGATATGAGACGGGTCTGGAACAACTAGATTTTGCAGCTGGGCAAGTGGCTGTGATGCAACAGAACTTGATCGATCTCCAGCCGCTGCTTGTAGACACTTCAGATAAAACAGAGAAACTCATGATAAAGATAGAGCAGGACACCGTGGTCGTGGAGAAACAGAAAGAGGTAAATTTGAAGAATATTAATTCAAAACTGATAATAGCAATGGGAAATTATAAATATTTTTTGTATTATAGATCGTAGGAGCCGACGAGGCTCTTGCTAACGAAGCAGCGGCCGGCGCTCAAGCAATGAAAGATGACTGTGAGTCTGATCTAGCTGAAGCTGTACCCGCCTTACAAGCGGCTCTTCACGCCTTGGATACATTAAAGCCTGCAGATATCACTCTTGTCAAAGCCATGAAAAATCCTCCGTCAGCCGTTAAACTAGTTATGGAGGCAGTATGCGTCATGAAAGGCATTAAGGGTGATAGAAAAATGGACGCCAATGGTAAAAATACTTTATGGCCTTTATGGGATAATTTTTATAATTGGTATATTTGAAATAATTTTTTTTTTCAGGTAAACCCTATGAAGATTTTTGGGGTCCATCGCAAAAGATGCTGGGTGATATGAAGTTCTTAGAGAGTCTAAAAAATTACGATAAGGACAACATTCCTGCAGCTATTATGAAAAAAATCCGAGACAAGTAATAACAAACTTTATCGGGTTTCTCAATGCATGGTCATCGTCAGATTAGATATTTATTAAAACAATTCAATTTTCAATTTTTTAAAGGTACATCCCAGACCGCGATTTTGACCCAGCAGTTATTGCAAAAGTTTCGAGCGCTTGCGAAGGACTGTGCAAGTGGGTTCGAGCTATGGATGTGTACGATAGAGTCATTAAGGTATATTTCTCGTATACACTTAAGAATACATAGTCATAAACCTGAACTGTTCATATATACATACATCTAAAAAATAAAATGTACTTTTTTAAAAGTATAGTTAAAAATTATAATTTTATTGTAGGTGGTAGCTCCCAAGAAGGCGGCTTTAGCTCAAGCAGAAGCGGAACTTCAAGCGCAGATGAACACGCTCAATGAAAAGCGAGCCCAGTTGCAGAGTGTTCTCGACAAATTGCAGGTAGCTACAAATTCCTTTTTATATGGAAAATTGGTTTTTGATTGCGAAAAAATATACGTGTGTACTAAACAAAAATATATCTAACCTAAGGCTCTGAATGATGAGTTCGCTGAAATGACGCGAAAGAAGAAGGGATTAGAAGATGAGATTGCTCTGTGTTCTACCAAGTTGTCCCGCGCTGAACAGTTGATTGGGGGTCTTGGTGGGGAGAAAGCACGTTGGACGGATTTAGCACATCAGCTGGAAGAACTGCTTGGCAATATTATTGGTAGCTATCAAATAAGATACTTTGTCCATGACCACTGACTATCACTAACGGCTTGAAATACTCAAAAAAATTTGGCCAACTATCAGGTGATGTATTACTAGCCGCGGGATTCATCGCCTATCTTGGTCCATACACCGTTAATTACAGAAGAGAATTGATACAAATGTGGAATGACCGTACTAAGGAATTGGGTAAAAATAACACATAAATTATTAACTTGGTTGTATTACATAATTATTCTATTGGTATGTTATTCTTAATATTAAAAATAGAATTCGAGTTTGAGTATAATCCATTTATTTGATTTAGAAATCCCCTGTTCGTTGAACTTCTCTCTGATCAGTACGCTGGGTGAACCGGTGGTCATCCGAGCTTGGAACATAGCCGGTCTTCCAGTAGATGCCTTTTCCATCGAGAATGGAATTATAGTAGAACGATCCAGAAGGTGGCCACTGATGATCGACCCTCAAGGTTAGTACTATATACAGAAATAAGTTTACTTACTTGCTATCTAGTTAGTTACTTAGTAAATAATACTTCTTACTTACAAAACTAAGAAGTATTATTTACTCGCTTACCTAGAAATTAAATCCAACAAAAAAGTTTTACACTATGTACAGTACACATATTACTTGAGCGTGTAAACCGCTTTCCCACGACTTTAGAGAGATTATTAATATTAATTTAAAAATTGTAATACACAGAGCAAGCGAACAAGTGGGTAAAGAATATGGAGCGCGAAAATCAACTTAAAGTAATAAAACTAACCGACGCGAACTACGGACGAGTTTTGGAAAACGCTATTCAACTGGGACTACCAGTCATACTAGAGAACATTCGGGAACAACTCGACGCGATGCTGGAACCTGTATTACTTCGAAATATATTTAGGTGAAGTATGGATAATGTATAATTTTTAGCAAAATTTTTATCTTACTCAAAATAGTTCACGACTGATTTTGGAATGGGTTTTTCATGTTTTAGGTCTGGAGGCATAGATTGTCTGAAGCTTGGTGACAATATTCTTGAGTACAATCACAATTTCCGTTTTTATATCACGACGAGGATAAGCAATCCACACTATTTGCCAGAAATTGCTGTCAAGGTAATCATTTTTTTATTTTAGTTTCTGTAAAAAAAATTGCATGTGTGATTCCATTAGTAAATTTTTCCAACAGGTTACATTATTGAACTTCATGATAACTCCTCAAGGGCTGCAGGATCAGTTGCTTGGGATCGTAGTAGCACAAGATAGGCCGGAGTTAGAATTGAAGAAGAACCAGCTTATTGTGGAGGGAGCTAACAACAAAAGGACATTGAAAGAAATTGAGGATAAGATTCTAGAGGTATTTTATTTAAAACAATGAAATAACAGAGCAAGAAAGCTCCATAAATTAATATAGTTGCATAACCAATAAACAGTGTCAACAACATTTTTTTTTATTTTCCTATATATTGTATTTTCTGTAAAATGCCTTAACTCTGAAGTAATTCATCAGAATTATTAAATATATTCCTACATTTTATCTCGGCAGGTACTTTCCTCAGCTGGAAATATTTTAGAAGACGAATCAGCAAACCAGATACTGTCATCATCTAAGATATTGTCAATCGAGATAGAAGCGAAGCAAGCGACAGCAGCGGTCACTGAGCTAGAGATAGATGAAGCGAGACAGCTATATGTGCCCGTCTCCAAACACAGCTCTGTGCTGTTTTTCTGTATCTCTGATTTAGCTAACATTGATCCCATGTACCAGTACTCGTTGAATTGGTAAGTTTATGTGTTAATACTTTCAACATATCTTTATATACTCGTCTTTCTATGAGTATTTGAAAATATTTATACCATTTGCCAGGTTCATAAATCTATACAACCAGGCTATCATGGACTCCCCAAAAAGCGACAACCTCGACGAACGTCTGAGCGGACTTAATGCGTACTTCACGCGCAGTATCTACGAGAACGTCTGTCGAAGTCTCTTTGAAAAGGACAAGCTTATTTTTTCTCTTGTTCTCACGCTTGGGATACTAAGAGCTAAGGTATAAGCAATTCGATATACTCATAATTATTATGGCTTAAGCTTTGTTATAAATTTACTGGAGGTTAGTTACCATAAAAAGTTCGATTAATTATATAAAGAGTAAAAATTATGTATGGATTTTTTATTTATACATATTGGTGCTTCAGAAATCAGATTCGGTTTCGCTTAATCTATTATGCATGTCATGTACAGGGTATGATCGACGATGAGCTGGTGTCCTTCCTCTTGACGGGCGGAGTTGCACTCGAAAACCCATACGAGAACCCTGCACCTGTCTGGCTTTCAGAGAAATCCTGGTCAGAGATCGTGCGCAGCAGCAACCTTAACGGGTATAATCTACATATACTATATTTAAATGTATTGAAAATTTCTTTGTTTACTTAAAACATCTTATAACATTCATTCATTGGCGCTGCTTAATATAAGTTACATATAAAACAGTTCTTATTATAGATACTTTTAACAATTGCTTGTACAATAGATTACAAGGATTCAAAGAGAACGTTGAAGAAAATATCGACGATTGGAAAGCTTTCTACGATCTGTCGGCGCCCCACGAGAATCCATTGCCTCATCCCTACGAGGATATCAAGGGAATCCCCAAGCTTATAATTTTGAGGTATATATTTAACTATTTAACAGTCTAGATTATATACTGAAATAATTAGAAAAATTATGATATTCAGTGCGGAATGGCATAGTCAAAATCTTTCGATTAAAAATTTTATTACTAAATTTCCACGTAAAACTTTTAGATGTATACGTCCTGACAAGTTGATACCTCTAGTCCAACAATATGTGATAGAGGAGATGGGGCAAATTTATGTAGAACCCCCGCCTTTCGACTTGGAGAAATCTTACCACGACAGTAACTGCTGCTCGCCGCTTATATTCATACTATCCGCCGGTTCCGATCCCATGTCTGGTCTGGTGAAGTTTTCTATGGAGAAGAAAGTCATTTCCTTCGAGACAATTTCTCTGGGACAAGGACAGGTACTGTAGAGTTAGAAACATTATTGCCCACAAAAACTAATTGATACCCATCAATTTAACGAAACTAATATTGAGTTGATGAAGACTTTGTATGAGAGTTCTTAAAGAACGTCCGTTTAATGGTGGAAGAATAAAAATAGATTTATTAATTTATCACCGAGATTAAAGATTACATCCTATTTACAACAAATAATTTCATCTTAAATATCTGTGAGTGATGAGTGTTTATCAGCTTTGGGTTGATATTATAAGGTAGTCGAATCTGTTTCCAGGGTCCGATAGCAGCGAACATGATAAAACAGGCAACAATAACAGGCGGCTGGGTGGTGCTTCAGAACTGTCACGTGATGGACTCGTGGATGGGCGAGCTGGAACGCATCTGCAGCGAGGTGTTGTCTCCTCACACCACGCATCCTGCTTTCCGCTGCTGGCTCACCTCCTACCCAAGCAAAGCCTTCCCCGTCACCGTATTACAGAACGGTATTTATTGATGCTTAATAACAAAGACTTATGTAGGTACTTGTTTAGACACTAAGCTGTCGCCTTCCCTTTATTTGTTAGGGTGAAAGCATAGCAAAATTATTTATTATTTTTCAGTAATGATTATGACTATATTAGTTAGTTAACCAAAAGAAATCACGCATATAAAATCAGATGAAATATAGAAATATACATTGAATATATCTTCAAAGCTATTCCTGATCTAAATTAATATATAAAATAATAAACTCTTCAACTATTTCTAGGTGTAAAAATGACAAACGAAGCACCAAAAGGTTTAAAGAACAACATCTATCGGTCGTACATATCGGACCCCATCTGCGACCCTGAGTTCTACATCTCCTGCCCAAGAACGGAAGAATGGAGGAGGTTGTTGTTCGCCCTGTGCTTTTTCCACGCCATCGTGCAAGAGAGACGAGCCTTCGGACCTCTTGGATGGAATATACAGTATGAGTTTAACGAGAGCGACTTGAGAATCTGCATCATGCAACTGCAGGTTGGCAATCGATATATTAGTTCTACACTAGTCGATGAAACTCGTCGAATAAGCAAAGAATTACGCTGAAGTATTCATAGGTTTATTTAGCTATCGCCCTTAGTAAATTCATCTCCGTCTCGTTATCATTTAGAAAATATTATTATTGATTGAAGTGGAAATCACTGAATGCCTTATACTTTAAATTAATTGGTATTAGTTTTTGCCTTCTTCTTTATCCGCCTGGATTTTGGATTTAGGCTAAGAGAAAAGTGTAGTGTATTAAAACATAATAGATATTATGTTAGCCAACCGTCGGTAACATGTACCTATCTGTGTCACGTGGTTTCATACACAACAAAACTGTTATGCAGCGGTCCTATGAGAATTAAGCGGAATTTTTATACATTTCATCAAACAGTGATAAGTAGTTTTACGTAAGAGATCCACAAACATCCATATTTGAGTCCATAAAGCTTCACAAACTTGCGCATTTATAAAATTAGTAGAATATGACAATACTAATATTTTATAGAAATATTATTTTATAGAAATATTATTTTATAAAAAAGATTAATATTAACCAATATAATTTTAAAAATTAATAAAGTAATACAGATTTTTAATTACAAATTAAGTATGCACTGTCATGATAGAAATGTAAAGGATAACTACCTCTAATATTGAAATTAACTTCCTTGTTTCTTGTAGTCTATTTATTTTTAACGAAACTGCCTTTCGAGTCGGTTGTAGCCACAGTGTTTACTTATTAAGCACATTAATAGGATTTAATAATGAATATGTCAGAGCATAAGTTTTTATTCTGCAATTTTTGTTTTTCATATTGAAGTTGAATGTTAAAATCTGTATGTTATAATATAAGAGAAAGTCGTGTTTGTTACAACATTTATAACTCGAGAGGTCGGCTACACCAATTTTCACGGATTTTGGTTCATTGGATTTGTCTCCGCCCCGAATAACAGAATAAATCTTAAAAAAGAAGACTAAATGAAAATATAAAGGATCGAACCCGGGTTCCCAGGATCGACCAAACCTGTCATTACTCATTTGTCAAACATTTGTAGTCCATCCTGTCAAATACTTAAGGTAATGGTTGATATGAGTTCAGAAATGACAAATGATTAACGATTACGCGCGCGTTTATTAATTTATTTATTGTAAATTAAAGATTAAATTCCAGCGACATCTATCGAAAGAAATTGTAGTTTCATGTAATTAACTCACACAAAAATATAACAGATGGCGCTAGCAGTTTAATAAATGCAGAACTTGATTTGAAATACATAAACATATACCTAAATGTTACATTTTAAAACTTTTTTTGAAGATTATTAGTTGAGGTCTGGACAGATTATCGAAATATAGAAGGCTTATACTATTATCGTATTAATTTAAACATATAATATATAAGAAGAAAACAGACCATTAACTTCATTTAGATAAAAAGGTAACAGATATTTCTTGATTATAGGGCGGTACGAAGTCCGCCGGTTCATCTAGTTTAGAATAAATTCGAATAAAATTTAAAATGAAATTCTATTCTTATAAGGACCATACTCCGGATGCCTAGTCAAAGTATTCCAATTTTTAATTAATAAAATAGTTTGGTTGTACAAAAGTGCGTGTATTTCAGATGTTCCTGACGGAATACACGGAGACTCCATTCGATGCTCTCAACTATTTAGCTGGCGAGTGTAACTATGGAGGGAGAGTGACAGATGATAAAGATAGGAGGCTTATACTATCGCTACTATCCATATTTTACAACGAGGACGTCACTACAGATATGAAGTGCTAACCACTGATTCCTTTATTCTCCTCATAGATATAGTAAATTATTTTCAAATAATTGTTTAATTTTCCAGCTATTCATTCTCTCCGAGTGGTGATTACCGCATACCACCCAGCATGGATTATAATTCGGTGTTGGAACACATCAAAGCTTTACCGATGATCGCCAAACCAGAAGTGTTCGGTCTCCATGAGAACGCTGATATAACTAAAGACAATAAAGAAACTGCTGCGGTGAGATATCTAGGGACAAAAAATCTCCTATTTGCTTTGCTTTCTTATGTTGGTTTTTTTTCCTATATTTTAACGTTTCATTATAAAAGATGTTTTGATCTGTTGGTCATTTATTTGTTTGATGATCTGTGCCTTACAGTGATGTATTATATTTCGAGCTTGTAAAAGACAATTCTGAAAAACTAATAAAGCAGTAAGTAGTTGATAAATGTCAACTAAGTAAGTATGTGAAATAAGTAAAGTATGTGTAGGTACGATTTTATTTCAATTTATTGAAAATGTTCATTCTATTAGATACCTATATGTATACATATATTATTATGTAGGTGTAAATACGATGGACCAAGCACTGGTACAGTGAATCCTTGTAATGCTTGGAAGTTTCGTCTCATATATAGTTTCTTTGTTTCCAGTTACTCTTCGGTTGTCTATTAACACAGACGAGTATCGTGTCAGGCGGCGGGGGGGAGGGCGGCGAGGGGGGAGGTGTGGTCGAACTCACGAAGGACCTTCTCGCTCGTATGCCAAAACCCTACGATGTTCTCGCGGTGTCTGAAAAGTATCCTGTACAGTACTATAACAGCATGAATACGGTTTTGAAGCAAGTAAGTAACCAAGAAAACTATATACCCTATGTTTTTTAGTTCTACTGGAGCTAAGATAGGAATTAGTCTTTCTTAATGACTACAGTATCACAAATAAATATAGCAATTTAGACCCGGCAAAGATTTTCACATGTACCTATATAAAATATGCAACTATATCCTTGAAGGAACTGATTCGCTACAACCGCCTACTGAGCGTAGTGGCTCGTACGTTGGATGGTGTACACCAGGCGGCGCAGGGACTGGCAGTCATGAGCGCTGAGTTGGAACAGTGCCATGCTGCCTTCGCTAAGGGTATCGTACCCGAAGCTTGGATGTCCAAGTCCTATCCCTCCATGAAGCCACTCGGATCATACGTAGCTGACTTCCTGGCCAGGTTTGTACAAGTAAATTGCATTAATTGCGTAACAACGAAATCTGTTTATAAATGCTCTTAAAATATCATATAATTTTTTTGAAACTTACCTAGATACTACCTACCTACTTTACGTTGCAAACTTTCGTCTAATAGTGTTGAAGTCTATTTATGGATAGGATTGCACTCATAAATAATAAGTCTTTAAAACTAGAATATCAAAACTTGAGTCATATCACTAATATTTAATCTAAACATTCTTTGGACTGTTAGGTTGAAATTCCTTCAAGACTGGATAGACGAGGGACCGCCGACCGTCTTCTGGCTATCGGGCTTCTACTTCACACAATCATTCCTAACGGGCGTACTTCAGAACTACTCGCGTCACAACCGTATACCGATTGATCAAGTACATTTTGAATTCACTATAACCAGCATGGAATCCGAATGTGAGGAGGAACCTAGCTTTGGAGTCTATTGTAAGGTGAGAAATTAATGGAGATATTTGAATAAATATAGTGTAAAGTCTTCTGTTACACTCGAAAGTGTCAGTGAGACCCATCGTTTATTATGTAGTTCTTATGTATGACATGTGTATCTGATTATTTGCAAGCAGCAAAATCAACTTGTGGATAAAAAAGATCAGGAACACAGTGTATTTGTATGGGTGAGTTGACTGGATTAATGAGAAAGAGTGGTTTCACTTTGAGTAGATCTTTTGTTTTGCTGAGTTTTTATAGTTGCTTACACAAAACTATCATTAATGATGATTAGAATGGTATTTGGTGATAAAGTTTGCCTCTAAATCTGAACATCCATGGTTTTTATAGGTTTCTTCCAAATATTTTTCGTTATACGAGAAAAAACTTGCTTTATCGAAAATTCGCACTGGCTGCACAATTTTGTTTTTGCATGATAGATCTGCATTTTTGTATTTTATATTAGAAACAAGGACTCCAATAAGAACATTTTTATTTAAAAAAATCACTTTTTTGTTCAACAGGGATTATATTGATCGCACTGGCTGCACAGTTTTTATTTCAATGCTTGATCTGAATTAGACTCCAATAAGAATATTTTAATCTGAAAAATTATTTTTTCGTTCAACAGGGATTGTTTCTAGAAGGTGCCAGATGGAACAGAGAGACAATGGAACTTGACGAATCCTATCCAAAGATTTTGTTCGACACCATACCCATAATTTGGTTTCAACCGGCCCTGATAGTGAACTTCCATCCACCTCCTTGCTATTTCTGTCCTACCTATAAGACTAGCGAGAGGAAAGGTGTTCTAGCTACAACTGGACATTCGAGTAATTTTGTGATGTACATCACTTTGAGGTCAGATATCCCGGAGAAACATTGGATAAACAGAGGAGTGGCTTCTTTGACCCAACTTGATGATTAAAGTCTTAATATTATCTCGATGTTTAATATAGAATACTAAAATATTTCATATTTACGTCTTTAATGTATAGTCAATTATGTGATATCTATCTAATAAAATGATTTTTTATATCAATTACTTTTATTTAAAAACTTCAACTTAATTGCGAAATATTCTGTTCGATATATTCATGAAGGTATTCAGTTCGATGGAAATCGTTTATAAATAGAATTCTATTTTCACGAACAAAAGGCCGATATAACTAAATCGGATGAGTCAGGTGCAGTAATGAAATGACAGTCGTGTTAATATTTTAATACAGCTGTACTATATTGTACATTTATCTAAAGTAACATCAGTTTGTACTCAGTCAGCATTCAACCAACACACAGGGAATAAGCTCGGTTATTGTACTACATACAATATTAATAATTTCAACCGTGCTGGGAGATACGTGTTTTGGTTTGGAAATTCCGATATAAATAATTGAAAAAATCAGTCACGAACTTGTGATAGGTACGTTAAGCTCTGCTACGTATCACGAGATATACAGAATGCTAAAATTATTTACGCCTGCAGTTAAGTGATCGTGGAGTAGTCTCTACAAAAGTAAAGCAAGAACACTACATATACTGCAGAGCAACTACATCTACACTCAGCCTTCAGAATTCTTTGCGAGATCCAACAGCTTGTTCATAAGCTCTCCTCCGAACGACTCCCTGTATTTCTGACTTATGCTGTTCAACAGCGCGTAAGGAGTTTCATAGTTCATGTTTTCTATGGAGGACAGGCTAGTATCGTTGTATTTCCTGCCGACCACTCTGAAGCCAGACGCCGACATCTCTATACAGTATTGCGAGTTCTCCAACGTCGTGATGTTAATGTATATCTTTTGGTCCGTGCTCTTCAGCTTGGGAGCTACTTGGGCGAAGTTCACGTGTTTCCTGATGTCGTTGATAGCCGCCTCGGCTTCCATCGGCCATGTTTCCTTGTCAAGCACTTGTTCTGACATTTCTACGGAAAAAAATAAATATAGAATATAGTATTTGAAAAAATTATATCCTATAAACATATAGAAACACTTAATTTTATAACATATACACTGCCGGCCAAAAGTTTGAGACCACTTGTAAAAATCTTATTCACCAACAAAATATTTCAAAAGTGCATATGACAAATGGCTGATTTGAATATCTGCGTATTCTATAGTTATAAAACTACTAATTATTGTCATTCTTTTCGTATATTTATAAGTTATGATATTATAAAGGTTTATTGTTACAAAACATTAATGAGTGCCGCGCAGGGACCAGATGGTAGAGTCATTGTAATATTTTTATGAGCTGCTCATTACTAATAATTTCGGTGTTGTTTCAAGTTCAGGATTATATTAGCTTTCTTAAAAAACATATGTTCAGGATTATTTTCGCTTTCTATAACATATTTTTTACCTGAGTTTTTATAAAATTAAGTTTTGGTTAGTCTGAGCTTGTCACTGTTAAAGAAACCACTTAAAATGGGGGTAAAGTGCGCGAAATTAGCAGTGAAACTCGTTGTACCATAATTGTTTTACACAACGAAGGTAAATCTGAACGTGCGATTGCCTCTCAGCTTAAGTTGTCGAAGACTTGTGTTCATAACACAATAGCCCGATACAAGGAGACTGGCAGTTATCGAGATCGTTTGCGATCGGGAAGGCCGAGAGCAACCACTTCTAGCGAGGATAAATTTATCGTCGTTACCAGCAAGAGGAATAGACGCCTAACAGCACCAGAAATCCGCGCAGAAGTAAGCAAATCCCGGTCTAAACCTGTATCACTGACTACAGTAAAAAGACGATTGAGAGATGCTAACTTATTTGGTCGCGTTGCCGGTCGAAAACCACTACTTAGGCCACAAAACAAAAAGAAACGGTTGCAGTGGGCCCTTACCTATCGAGACTGGACTGAAGAAGACTTTAAAAAAGTTCTTTGGACAGATGAATCCAAATTTGAAACATTTGGATCTAAGAGACGAATTTTTGTTCGACGTAGCGCCGAAGAAAAGATGATGCCAGACTGTGTGGTGCCAACCGTCAAACATGGTGGGGGTTCTATTATGGTTTGGGGATGCTTCTCGGGCTATGGAACCGGAGATTTGGTACGAGTCGAAGGAATTATGAAAAAGGAGCAGTACAAACGAATACTACATCAAAATGCCGTTCCGTCTGGTGTAAGATTAATTGGAAATAGTTTTATTTTCCAACAAGATAATGATCTTAAACATAGTTCAAAATTATGCAGGGGTTATTTAGAAGATAAAGAAACAGAAGGAGTGTTAAAAAACATGGTGTGGCCCCCTCAGAGCCCGGATCTCAACCCGATCGAGCTTTTGTGGGAAGAGCTTGATAGAAATGTACGCAGTCGTTGCCCCTCCTCGCAAGAGGACATGTGGAGGACTTTACAAGAAAGCTGGCACAATATTTCACAAGAAACAATCAACAAATTGATTGGTCGTATGCCAAGACTCGTGAAAAAAGTGATAAAATGTAAGGGAGGGTTTTTTGATGAAAAATCTGTTTAAATATTAACGGAATTTTTGATGTAAATATTTTTTTTTTCTTCCTGAGGTATGTGTAGGAAGAATGTATAAGTATGTTAATTATTAATTAAACCTCTTACTTCGTATTTTTTTTGAGTTTTATTTCATTTTCATACTTTGATGAGGGTGGTCTCAAACTTTTGGCCGGCAGTGTATTCTGAAATAGAATCCACAAACTATGTTTTCTATACAGTTCGTGAAATGAAAACAACACGAGTAACAGTTAAATATGGGTTATTTACATATTATCAAGGCAAATCCATGTTATCGTCTATAATAACTGAGTTTATGGTTGTAGGTATGTATTGGTGAGCAATAAAGTCGAGTTGATAATCAAGGTCAGGAATAGGTCTCTGTACAAAGCTCGTGTAATTAATTTTAAAATTAACTAGAACACATTTCTTTGTGGAAGATTCTCGATGTTTTCATATAAAGATCGGGAAAGTCGATATGGTATTAAATTGTTAAATCTACATGAATAACATAGTTCGCGTGCATTGTGTAAACATCCCAAAATATCAACAGTCACGGGTAAAATACACCTATAAACAACATTATGGTTACTTAAAACTCTATAAAGTTCTAGAAATGACATTTATATTTTCACTCATATATAAATATAATAACAGCTTCTTTTATATTTCATAACCGTAGCAAAATTTATTGTTAGTTCACCATAAGTAAATTATTAATACAAATGCAGTACATACCAATAAATATATTATATACCAAATGAGGTTGGATAAGAAAACCTATGAAAATGAAATCATATACACATTACTACAACTAAGTCTGGGAATACTCGGCCACTTGGGTTTTCACGAACCCCTACTCTTTAAACTAGAACAAATCACAGAAAAGCCCAAAGGGATTCTTATATCATTTGTGTAATGGAATTTGAATAGGAATTACATGATGTAACAGTGTAAAAAACTGTTAGTTTATTCATTTATTATATCTAGAACAAATAGTAAGGACAGAGTTTACTAAAGTTTTGGTGATAATATTTTTTGGATTTACTATGTGTTAATAAATATTTTTTCTAAAATACTCCCGACATTTAGTTACTTTGCAGCAACCGTGATCATGAACAGACATGATGTGAAAATACTTTATTTCAGATACAACATAAGTACTTACATGATTGCATTACAATGTAAATAATTTATACTCTCCAATATTTATTGTATCTAATAAAGCAATTTGAACCACAAAAAAGTTGAAAGTTGTATATACTTTAAAATTGTATTAAAATAGACTATATATTTATTGTATATCAAAAAATGTTTGTTTACTTCCAACATGTCTCATTTTACATGTTTTTAAGAATCCAAAATTGATAAAATTTTCTAATATCCAATTCATAAAATAAATGTATAACATTAAAAAATATTTAGATAATTGTATTTTTTGGTCACACATACTTAATTTTGGATTAATTATCACTTCAGAGTTTAAAACATTAGCAAAATGAAAAACAGGAAAAAAGAAAATTGTCTAGAAATAAGAGCAAAAATATAAAATAAGATTTTTAGGAGCACTTCAAAGAATATTGGCACTAACAATATTTTGAACAAAGTATTCATATAATAATAGCAGGGAGAGTAATGACTAAAGAATACTCGGCAGCGGTGAGGGGCCTAGTTCTATTATAACTGAAATACAGTAGAAACTCGATTATCTAGCCCTCAGTTATACAGATTCGCAATTAATGTTACTACGGACAAGTCTGGTCAAGAAAAGATGAGTGGTGTTGTTGAGATATATTCTAACCCAAATTATACTTATTATTATAATTCATGATTACCAATTTCAAATTACTAAAACATATTGTAATTTATTTTTTAAATAAACATATAGTATTATCAACTACATAAGCACAAAACCGTCTTTTCTTCATACATTCGATTATCTGGATTTTCGATTATCCGAATGCCTATCGACAACAATTAGTCCGGTTAATAGAGTTTTTACTGTACCAGACCATTCAGGTCTATTTTGACATCCTGATACATTACCAAGTCTTCTGAAAGACTTTTTTTCATTCAAATCTATTAATTTGACAAAAATTAAGTCTGATACTTTTTGTTTTTGAATAACATTTCACTATTATAATAGTAATTTCACTAACTTTTTTAAACTAGACTCTTTCATTTATTTCAAGTAAAGTATTTTTTATATATTATAACTTATAATTAGGGCTCGGATTAATATGTAAATACATATTTTTAATTTACGCGATTTTCGGTCTAGAATGTGTTTTCTATATGGATTGTCATATTTAGACTGTAAAAAACCAACTTTTATTTTCCATATTTTACCATATTTCAAAGTTAAGTCCATATTTTACAAGAAAATGTCTCAATCATCCATATATTCACAAAAATAAGTAAAATTTTCTTTCCCGCCACTAATGTTTTGGATAAAAATAAAGAATTTAATACACTAAAAAAATTTATAAGTCTGTGAGGAAGTTTCGAGGGCTGTAGACAATTCTTACACAATTACTGAATTAAGCATGTTTAAGTATACAACCATCATGTCATGTGATGTGGAGAGATCATTTAGCAGATATGAGGCTATATTTCCACCAAATGGTCAGTTTTCATTTTGATAATTTAAAGAAGCACGTCATTGTGTATTGCAACCAATTTGATAAGGCTAGTATAATGGAAGTTGAATAAAACTGTTATTTTTTGTTGAAATAAATATTTTGCTATTTTTATTCATCGTTTTTTAAATGTAGCTTAACGATGTATGTCACGAGTGACCCTTTTCTTATAGTAAAACAATGTTTAATTATGAAAGTATTTTGTTTTATACTCCATATTTTTGATTTTTTTGTACATATTTTAGATTTTTTAATACATATTTATCCGGGCCCTACTTATAATAATATATAAAAGCTTTTACAAAGTTGGTATTTTTTTTTCATAATGAATAGTTTAATACATTTCATTTAATTTACATAACATTTTCTTGCGACTAACAACATACATAATGCAGGAAGCGTGAGGTAAAGACCAAACAATAGAAATATAACAGTTTATACATATGATATCACGTAGATGAATTTAAGGTAAAGTAAGATCAAATAAATAACAAACAATATTATCTGGTCGACATTCGCTATATACACAAGTGCACTATTAATCGATTAATTTTAATAATATAATATGTAAACAAATAATTGTTATATCGCACCTACGGTGCAATAACGTCACTTGTGCAATTTATTAAAAAACTTAACTGATTATGAGAAAATATTCCCAAACCACCTCTTTACTTGGTGCGTTATTGTCATTTGTGTCGTACGCAAACTGTCCTCGTGAGGGCATTAGTGTCGTTACGGTTTTGGCGCGAATCTGGACGGCACTGGGAGAAACAACGTATCTTTGTCCAGTTGCGCGCGGCCCCACGCACGAGTAAGTGTCTTCTGGAGCTACAACGTTACTAAGGTAATTGTGACAATTATTTTTTATGATTTGGGAGCAATAACGGCACTTGTGTAGTGAGGTATTGAAGTAATGACGTTTTTTCCCCAATATTTGTATTTTATGGTGTAAAATGAATCAATAATTTATTTCCTTATTATATTTTTATATTGAGCACCTATTTCTGATCGTTATTATTTTTTTCTTTTTTTTTCAGAATGAACCAACGCAGCAAACACCTAGTGCTACTAGCACTTTCAAAACAAAACCAAAACTCAATTGAAGTTCAAAACTTAACCAACTCTACAAAGTTACCATATTCACAAACAGGAAATGCATTGTCTCTTACAAATTCCGAATGTCCAGTATCACCATCCAACCTAGAAGACCCAACAACAACTACTCCAGAGCAGGGTGATACTACTTTCAATAAACCCGGTAACTCTCCATCTATTTTATTTGCGACTAATAAATCACATGAACAAGAGGGTATCGACTTTCAAACAGGCGATTACTCCGGCACTGATTCAGGAGATGAATACAGGCCTGGCCCTCGTTCCAGATCATCTTCATCCAGTAGCTCTAGTAACAATTCTACCAATAGTAGTTCTACCAGTATTTGTTCCAGTGATTCTCCTGTAGAGAATAATAATTGTAATAATGAGAGTAATATAGTTCAAGGGTATATATGTATAACCAACAAGTGGAACCGATAACTAAATCGAGAGGCAAAAAGCGTACGCGTAATCCAACAAACTGGAAAAAGAATGTTGCTAAGCGATTGAAAAACTCTGGACAAGCGTATATCTCAATAAAAACCAAAAAACTAAATCAAAGTAAAACAATAGGACCTACATGTACAACTAAATGTCGGTTGTCCTGTGCTACTAAATTTACTGAACAAAAAAGAATGGAAATCTTTGAGTTTTACTGGAAGTTGGAGAGTTTAGAGAGGCAACGGGGTTTTTTAAACGCCTGTACAAGACCACTTAAATGTGCTTACCGCCGTATAAAGACTGACAAAAGTTACGACAGAAAAGCAAACACTGCGTTTTACTTATTAAATGACAATAAAGAAATCCGCGTCTGTAAAACTTTCCTTATTAATACTTTGGGTATCACACAACTGACTATGCGGACCGTTATCGACGGCAAAGCTAAGAATGATGGTTTCATTCCACCTGATCAGCGAGGAAAACACGGCAAACAATGTACTTTGGGACCTGAAGTTATCCAAGCTGTGAAGGATCATATAGAATCAATTCCAAGGATTGAGAGTCACTATCTCAGGGCTAGTACTAGTAGCCAATTTATTGATGGGGGTTTGACAGTGGCCGAATTACATAGGAATTATTCAGAAAGTCAGAAACAACAGAATAAGCCTATTGTGAACTACGACGCTTACTCACGAATTTTCAACCAAGATTTTAACATTGGATTTTTCAAACCTAAAAAAGATCGATGCGATGAGTGTGAAGCATACGAAAATGCCTCTGAAGAAGAAAAAAATAAATTACGTGATAGTTTCAAACTGCATCAAGAGGAAAAAAGCTTAAGTAGACTTGAGAAAGAAAAGGATATGAAAAGATGTCACGAACCTGACAACAACACAATTGTTTTCACCTATGACTTACAAGCGGTGTTACCATGCCCTGTTGGCAAATCAAGTTCTTTTTATTATAAATCAAGACTGAACTGTTATAACTTCACCATATCAAATGCAAACAAGCAAGAAACCACTTGTTACTTTTGGCATGAAGGGTTGGCCAATAGAGGGGCCATCGAAATAGGGTCATGTGTGTATAAATACCTAGAGCAGATTGCATCCGAAAAACCAGGCTGCGATGTCATCATTTACTCTGACAATTGCTGTGGTCAGCAAAAAAATAAATTTGTGTTTTCTATGTATTACTATGCAGTTAGTCGTTTAAATATCAACTCCATACAACACAACTTTTTAATTCGAGGCCACACACAGAACGAAAGTGATGCAGCTCACTCTGTGATAGAAAAATCTGTGACTAGGGCCAAAAATGCTGGATGTATTTATGTACCCGATCAATACATTTCTCTAATCCGTGGGGCCAAAAAAACTGGCAAGCCGTTTGTAGTAAACGAAATGAACTATAACGATTTCTTCGATTTGAAAGCACTCAAAGAGAACATAAACTTTAATATGGCGAAAAATGTCAATGACTGTGTTATCAAGACCGGTGACATTAAGAGTATTAAATTTAGCAAAAATTCAGAAAATTACCATTATCGAACCACATACAAAACGGAAAATTGGGAGGAAGCAAAAGCTATTCTTCATCGCAAAAAATTACGTGGCAATAGAGGCAATCAAAAAATAGACGAAATTACATTGAAGCAAGCTTACAAAAACAAAATACCAATTTCAGAACGTAAAAAGCGTGATTTATTGCAATTATTGGAAGCTAATCTTGTGCCAAGATACTATGAAAGTTTTTATAATGATTTAATTTAATTTTTGTATTTTACCCTAAGGGTTACCAAGCCTGTGATTCTAAGTTAAAAGTAAACAGTTATTTTTTGTAGGTCTAGGATAAGTGAAGTAATTGGTATGTGATACCTACTGTTGATTCATTAATTAATAAGGGTACAATGACTGTGATTCATAGATTAATCGATAGGTAAGTTCCATGGGTAATTGCAATTAAGAAGATGTTGAACATTTCCAGATTCCAAATTGGAATTTGGAATTGGGACGATTCTTCAAGTTTAGGCAGTACGAGGATAACCTGCCATTAAAAAGTCTGATTAGTATAAAAGTTACTATTTAGAATTCAGAAAATTTGTTTTTTGTTATCTGAATAAATAATTTTAGAAATGCATGATTTCGTGTTTTATTTGCTTTGACATAATTGATCCATAAATTATTTTCTAGACCCATAACGTCACTTCTGCGAGGGTTGTAGGTTTTAAACGTTTATATCTTCTTAATAGTAAACAGTGAAATGTTTGCTTTTATGTTAAAGTAAGGTTTAATAGTTTAGTTTCAATATTATTAACTTATTTTTTTAGTTGAATAATTCTATACAAATTAATAGGATGTTCAATTTTCAAACGCTTCTCCTGAAAAAGTACGTTAGATACACAAGTGACGTTATTGCACCGTAGGTGCGATATATACATAGAAATTGCACTCACCAAGATTTATAATTAGTTCAGCAATCCAAAGTTTTTTGATTTTTTATATAATCTTGAAATGTTACGTTTTATTAATTTATTGCATTATATTAGGCCTTAATTTGTTATTTAAAAAGGCCAAAAGTTGTAGCCGAAGCTCACTCGCAACTGTACATTAACAAACATTGACAAATGCATCGATGTCAGAAGGAAAAAAATGACAGTTCTATAAAACATTTCGTTCACCAGGACTACAAAACGTAATCAGATTTACAAGGAAGTGGAAATTATTTAATATTTATATTTTGTTTTAAAATATTATCTTTAAAGTAATATCTAGTTATGAAAAAAATATAAAAAAGCTATGTTTGTTATTAATATAAATAAATATATTGTTCACTTACAAATATTTTTTATATTTATTTTCAATGATCATATATTTCGTTAGGTTAATTCGAGCTTAAGTGAAATGGAATCGAAAAGGTTTTGGTCTCTTTCTCTTAGTCGCATAGATGGCGCTTCGATCTTGTAAACTGCGTATAGCGAATTGACGTTTTTGGTTATTTTTGTTCTCGCCTCGTGTTTATTTTAGTGTTTTATTTCGGCCTTATTGCAAAAATATAGTTTTTGGATCACCTAAAGTATCTAAATTCAATTGGGGACGATTTTCGATACCGAATAATATCGATCTACACTCTCCTCCTAGGTATATGTATACAGTTTTATCACGTGGTGGTGTGATTTATATAATTCTTGTTTACCGTACAAGCCGAAACTTTGCGCATGTGCGTTTCATCAGTAACCTCAAATTGTAGACGGGACACGGATTCGGCAGGTTCCGGATATCCGGGTCGAGGCACAGAGGGTCTGTGATGTGCTATCGCGGCGAGGGTGCGCGCCCCGCGTGTGGACGTTGGTGATATTAGTAAACGCGTCTGAAATGGCTCAGACTCAGATATCGCGGAGCTCGGAGAGCGATGCCTGGACGCTCCTCTCCCTCAAGTCGGCGCCTCCGTCGCCCTCGAAAGTGCAATGGGCACAGGAGCCGGCTCCGACTGCCATCGCGCGGCTCGATGGCCGCGATTTCGAATACATGATACGCCAAAAGAAGGTGATAATCGGACGGAATTCTAGCCGGGGTCAAGTAGACGTAAACATGGGACATTCTAGTTTTATATCGCGGCGGCATCTCGAACTGTTCTACGACCACCCGGAGTTCTATTTGACTTGCAACAGCAAGAACGGCGTGCTCGTCGATGGTGTGTTTCAACGGAAGGGAGCGGCCGCGATGCTACTCCCGAAGAGGTGAGTACACTCTCCATAGATAAGCCACTAAAGGTCAGCATTATGACCCATTGCAAGTTACTGATATTGTTTGTAAACAAACTATTTGTTTATATCTACCCACCTGTTGTTGTTGTTTTTTTTAAACAATATTTCTTATGTTTAAGGGTGTGTTTGGTACACACTATAGAACATGTGTTACATAACTTTTAATTTTTATTATAATATATTGCTCCCATAAAACTAAGACTATTGTTTGCAATTTAGCCTGTTGTGTTGTAAAAAAAATGTAAATATTTATGTTTTTTTTAGGTTAATTTCTTTTTAATTTGTTGTTTATAATAATAGCATTCCAGATACAAATACTTTTAATTATTGAGACTTTGAATTTAACTTTTTGTATACATATGTATTTTGATTTATAATAATAATCACACTATTATATATAGGTGTATGATCATCATACAAATGAAATATTTACATGCTTTGCATTTGAGTAAAAAAGCCACTTAAAGTAGCATGGTTATTGTACTTACTGTACATATTTTATGAAGTTTTTTCATAGTTCATATAATAGAATGTTGGTATTATGAAGTAATGAAATTGCATTAAAATGAATTTGAATTGACGAGTTGTACAAATGTGTTGTACTATGAACTGAGTTGTTTGTGCCAGCCGTTTTACTTTATATTAACAACATAAATTCAAAATAAAATTGTCTATAGAATCATTTAACTATGAATGTGGATTTTGAAAAGTCGTTAGTGGTTAGAATATATCTGCTGAAAATGCCCTTTCGAAAGACATCTATTAGCGGGATTCAGGATAAAATATGTATTTCTCAGATTATTCTATACAATATGTATATAAAATATAATTTTACAAATTTAAATTATTTATAGAAAGTTTTAGTAATTTAATGTTTTTTGGTGACCTATTTGGTTATAATAAGAATGAAAGATGAATTTATATAATAATTCCAACCAGTAATGAAACTTTTGGTCATAATAGATAAAACTATGTAAGTAGGTTGTACAGTGACGGAGCATTCTTTGGGAAACAAATTTAATCATTTGATACATTTGACCTTAATTTCATCGGGTTATATGACAGTTGAATATAATAGAAAATAAAAATAATTTGTCTAAAGAATAACTATATTATTAAGGCACTACATTACTAAGTTAGGTTTTTGGAAATTAGTTAATCTCAATTCTTTACTAAATCATTAAGTATTTTAATATCTTAATATACATAAAATTAGTATATATATGCTGCCAAAATTAACATCACTTCTATTTTGAGTCATCTCAGAAATTGAGTCATAGTGACACATTTCGCTATAACGGTATTTATCGTAAACAAATCATTTGATAAAAATTATTCTTGCTAGTTTGTGTTTATTGTTTAGACTTGTTCATAAATAAGACAAAATGCTTAAATTATAAGTATCTGATAGTGTTATCAGACTGGGTCATTCAACTATTTGTCTAGTCTAGGAGAAATCTGTTCAATACAAAACTGTTTTTAATAATACGAAGGCAAGGTCTATAATGGTATGATTACTTTTCCATGATTGTGTTTAATTTTTGCTACATTCAAGACAAGTTTATTGCGCATTGGAATATATATAACTCTATATGAAAGTATGTCCTTTAATCCCTTCATCATTTGAGGGTCTTGTCAGTTAACAAGCCAATTGAATGAGTGATAGTCAGTTTTTTCCAATGTAATAGAAGATTACAGTTATTATAACAAAGTCTAGAACTAAGTAGGTTATAACAACAATACGTATATTGATACAATTTAAACCTAGTTTCGTTCTAAGCATTTCTGACGAGGCTTACAAAAGACGCCGACTTGAATTTTTTTCTTGTATGACGTAAACTGATAAGTCAATTATTTGTTGTACAAAACGGCTACGTTAATATATTTCTGAATTTAACATTACGTATGTTGTATTGATATATTTTTGTATGAACCAGGTCAAACCTAGACGGAAATTATGCTAAAAATAATTGCGAAAGTTTCTAAGTGTACTATATCCATGTTTTTAGTTCTTTAACATAGTACCTACTTGATTGATTTTCATTAAACTTTACAGTGTTGTAGTTCAAACATCGGAATAAGACATTTTATAATTATCCCGTAAATTTCTGGATCGTGGAGTAACAGTTGTAGTGTATGTAGTCACGTGACGAAGACATGTCGCTGTGGGGTCATAACCAATTCTATTGTTTTATTACACTGTAAACGTTTCTCTCAGGACCCAATTCTAAAGTTCATGCAGACGAAGTCGCGGGCAAAAATATATACATATGTATATATCTATATATAAATATGTATATATCGTTCGAAAACGTTTGATAGCAATTGATTACATTTGTTGAACACAGCTCTGTTTACTCCGAACGTGGTTATGTAAGAGGAAAACACGTTGTAATGAGATTTCAAACGACTCCATTGAATAATATGTACTAGTGATATGTTTTGTTGTTCAACGTCTGCTTGACAATTGGAAGTTATTTATTGGGAAAGACTTATTATAGACATTTTTATAATAAAAATAATATTATAGACATTTTTATAATAAAAATAATATTGTATCAGTTCTATAATCTCTGTAGGTGTAAATAATTTATTTATTTAATAGTATTGAATGTTTTTTTAATAGATTATTGTATATAACTGTACTTGTTGTGTCATTGCATTTGTCTGTGGTACGTAAAGAGATGTACGTGAGATAGCCTCAATGAAAGACGGATGTTTTGGTTGTAAGAAATGATTTTTTAATTCGAGAATAATTCGTGATTCTGTTGTATAATTAGTTATAAATAGCGTTGACTAGTCAGAACTGATGTTTGTTTTGACAGCGATACTAAAAATATTATCGGCTTTAAAGGTTAATTAGTTTACAGCGGTATCATTATTTAAAATGAGACTTATTGTCATTATATTAGAATTGAATTTCGTATGAGTGAAATTATTTTCGCAAGTTTTGCTTTGAAATTTATCTGTTTTAGTTTTCGATTTTTTTTGTATGGAATTTTATGAATTAAAACCTTTTCGATTCTCGATTCAAGTGCTGCCATTTTTCGATTCGATAATATTCATGTGACGTGTTATTTGTTTTGTATCCAACGAATTATTTTAAATACATTCCGTAAGGCAAGTTACCTTTTATTTAGTACTTGGCAACATTGGCAGTTGTTAAGGTTTTCATTTTAACATTACTGTTACGAGTCACAACACGAGGAGACTGTTGCTAGCCGTGTGGTGTCATTGTTATTTCGACCTTATTTATATATTAATAAGGTTACACGAATAACCAACGGACGTACATTATCGACCGCCTCATATTACATAAACACTTCGATTCAATAAAAAAAGACATTTTGTTGCTTTACCGTATATTCGAAGACGTATTGATGGTATGTCTCTGTGTTCCTAACCAGATATTTCTGTGTAATGTTTTGGGTATGATCCAAGGCGCCAAGATGTCAGGAATCGGATTGTGGCTCACATATCTTCGCGTTACTGATGATGTTTGCATTATGTAACATTTGGTCCATCTTACACCGGCTTTGGACGGAATATTAATCATTCTATACGGATAAAGTTTAACCATATAAAAGCTTGTAATTTCTTTGGGAATATCCCGAATAATATTATAAATGCGAAATTAATTCTGTCTGTCTGTCTGTTACGATTTCACGTCTAAACCACTGAACTGATTTTAATGAAATTTGGTACCGAGATAGAGTTGACCTTAAGAAAGAACATAGGATAGTTTTTATCCCAGACTTTTGAAAGGTTCTCTTGGAAACGTGATATAACCGAACTCCACGCGGTCGAAGTTGCGGGCGGAAAGCTATCTCTTAATATAAAGACTGTTTTATTTTGGTAGGCTCCGCTGTATTTGTTCTAAAAATCAAACAACTAAACTTCTTCCATACGGCGTACAAATATTTCAAACTTTTTTTTTACACCATCCAAGTGCATTTTCAACTAACAAAGTTGTTCTTGGACATCGTTTGCATCACTCATAAAGATAAAACAATCGAAATTCGCTATCTATATTGACGTACGGAGAATGCGATTTTGTGTCATATATTACATCAAGTCGACAAATGTTTATCTGTTATCTTGATGCTAATATAAATGTCTTGAACGTTTTAAGGTCCAAAGTTCCCAGATTACACATAGTAGACGTGTAAGTTGGTCCGTATATAGAGCGAGATCGGTTCGGAGACGGCATTCCACCGAGCATACTCAGTCAGGACTTGATCTTCGTGTATTCGGTCGAATGTATTTCGTGTATGTGATTAAATTACAGCCGATGTCTGGATCTTATACTAGTTTAATAATAAAAATAACCCAGTAAACCAAATTTAATTTTTCCATACATTAAAGTAACGTGGTTATATTTTTTTTGTGATAAAATTTTCATCATTTTTCATCAGCATTGCATTCGTTGAGATTTCATCTGTTTTGTGTATTTTTTTTAGACTGTCCTCGCATCGTTTGCATTGCCAAAAATACAGTAGGCTCCGTCAGTCGGCGAGTGCGATGTTCTAGTCATGAACTATTTTTGTCCCCCGACGTTGTTTGTTTACGGGCCACTGTTAAAACATTCACAATTCACAGTCGGTTACTCCGCCTCGCCTGTGTCGCACTAACGATGTTACACGGGTTTACTTTAGTAGCAATTAAACCGTGCCTCGTCAAAGGAGAGTTGTATTTAAATGAAGACTATGCAATCCTGTGATGTCTTTCCGTCATTTCATATTATTTTCACTGATATAAATAGCTGTAAATTCCATTGCGATTGAAAATGAAATTCAAGCAAAAAATATTCACGATAAAGGAATGAAGGCGTTCATCATCAAAGAATTCGATTTGTTTGTTTTCAACCGCCTCGTCCTTGAGACGCTGGTGTTTTCTCCCAAATCAGGTTGTCGTTGTGAACTGCCTCTATATAATGGTGACTTCATGGCTTTCGCATGAGGTCACTGCTCCCA